AGTATCTTTATTGCTGTGGACTCCATTTTAAACTCTTTATTTGAAGACCACCAGAAATGTCACTTTACTCGCTTAAGGTATAAAAAGCTTGAAAAGTTGGAATGTGGTAAGCAATTTCCTTTTTTACGATTAGAGTTGCAGATCTGCTTATTTTAGAGTTTGACTAGAGCGCTGGTGAAGTGATACTGGGAGTCGAGCAGCTGACAGGTGGGGTTTTTTTCCAACTACTGCCGTTAAAAACCTGAACGTTTAAATCCAATGTCTACTGAATCCAGTGTCATATTGCATATGAAATCTTCCGTTGATTTTTGAGAATTCACAATCTTTCAAACTATAAGGAGTTCCTCAAATGACACTGAGAAATTTGACACAACGTATTTCTTTCCTGTCCAAAAAAAAGGTGTCGATTCATCTTTACCATGCAAATACCTGTGCATAAAATTAAAAGATACGTATTAATAAGTGAAATGCTTGGGAAAACATTATATTTCTTCAAGGAAGGAATCTGAGAAGTATAACTAAAATGATAAACAACTTATTTTTATTGGTTGTAGGGTTTTTTATGTCCAAATCTGTCCTGTTACTTTCAGATAAGGTAGAAGTCAAAAAATTATATTAACAAAATGACCAATTGTGAGAAGCTACTTTAAAAAAAAGAAAAAAAAAAAAGCCGCACACTAAGAAGTTACTACAGTTGCTTAACTGTATGGGTGGTTAATGTCTTTTGAAACAGTTTGTCCTACCATGATACCTTTGTGGAAATAAGTACCTATTTAACTGGAAGGCATCGTGTTCTAAAAAATGGACAAAATGCACTGGGAAGATGGGTGCAGGAGGAGGGGCATCTGCAGGGACCGATACACTTCTGGTTTCAGAAGGGAGATACTTTTTCCTTCTAGTTCTTTGTCATCTCACCTTTTTCTCACGTGTTGCCTTCCCACATGTTGCAACATGAATGGAAACCAACCATTTTACTTGACCTCAATCTAAAATCGAAAGTGGTAAATTCTTCAGCCCTGGGCCTCTGAAACTGCTGCTTGGGGGAATCCCTGTCTCTGCAGATGCTACTGTGAAGCTTTATGCCACATTTTGCAGAAGGTGAGCTGAAGATACCTGTAGAATGTGGAAACCTTGCTTAAGCAAAGCGAGTTTAGAAACGGCTACAATAACACCAGTTTAGCTTGCTACATGCAGGAACTATGTACATGTAGAAGCCATTCTTTTATCTGAACTTTTTTTCCTAATGGTCTTATGTGCAGGTAGTGATGAGTGTGAATTCTCTTCTGCTTTTTTTTGTTCAGTTTTGTGGCTCTGACAGTACTTTCGTGACTCTGATTTAGCAGATTTCATCTGCAAGGGAACCTTTTGTGCTGAGTGTTCAAGATTTTTAGTAAGGAAGAGAGAACACAAAGCCACAAATATAAGTGGTGGGAGGTTTAGGAACAGAATTGACTTAACAACTTAATCTACTGTAATAGGTGAATTTCATCACAGTTAATGTGCAAATGAGTACTTGTTCTGTCTCTCCAAGTAATACTGTGACTTAGCATTCCTCATGCATAACTCTCAAGGCTGCTTTTTGGTTGGGTGGTTTGGTTGTTGGCTTTTTTTTTTTTTTTTTTTTTTTTTTTTTTTTTCTATAAATACATAGCTTTTTATGGAAAGGGAAAAACAAGACTTGCAAATTCATCTCTAGCATTTGCATTTAAAAATCTCTGGGCCCTATTTTTTTCCATGACACTTTGTTATGTTTCACAACCCACTGTGCGATGGTTCTGCTCCTCCTTAAATGACAGAAGTCTGATTGTGGTTGCAGAGCAAAACTGGGGCTGAGGACCGTGGTGCCCCCTCACCTCCAGGGCCTCGGGAGTGCCAGTGGTGGCAGCAGCAGAGCCCCTTCACAGACCCTCCTGAAAGGGTCCTTATTCCTGCAGACCAGCTGCTGTGAGTTCTGCCATGTTCCTGCTAAAAATCAGTATGAGTTTTGCGCTTAACTTGGCTGGAGACAGGGTTAAACAGAAGCTTCATTTAGAGGGTTCAAGGGTTTGAAGTTTGTTCCCTCTACGGGTGGGCTCTGAACACGTGCAACTCCGACGCATCCGTTTCTTGTGGGGCTGAAAGCTGTTTCTTATTTGTGGTGCCTTAGATGTTGCAGTTGTGGGAAAAGAACAAAAATTCTTTTCCCTTGGAGTGGTTGTCAGGAAGGAGGTTGCAAAGATGGGAGGAATATACATGTCATGGTAGTTGCTGAACGCACTGTTACAGGATTTAAGAGCTCCCCTTTTTTTCTTCTGATTCCAAAGTGTGCTTGTCTGCTTATGGTGATGATAAATGATGTAAACACATGAAAACATGTATCAAAGCTGATCTATTTATAGCTATGAATGAGTATATTGTCCCTTCTTTCTTCATTTGAATTTATAATTACATGCAGGGAAGGGATTTGATGAGGCTCTTTGGCGTTGTTACCCAATCCCTAGACAAAATGAGTAATAACGTCATGTTTGCACCTGAATAGGTCTGCCTAGTATTCCTGAATTGCTCTGTGTCCCCCGGACACTACTGCAGCCGAGGCTAATGTATCGCTATGCCTATATGCCTTATAGGAGACAACTCACAAAAGCTAGAAAACTACTTTTAGATTCACAATAAACCTGCATTGACTGCTATATGCTTATCGTGAATTTATCATTATTCATGGGATACAGTCTCATGGGCAGGCTAGAATAGGAAGAAATATTTTAGTGAGCTTTCGTTTGCACTTTAGCCATCTTTAGGATGGGATTTCAAACTGAGTAAGAAACTAAAGATGATTGAAAAGGTAGGGCTTGACACTGAGTTGGGCTCCCTGCTCTGTCATAGACCTCTTAAAGGCAAGTCACTTCATAGTCTCTCTCTGACTTAGTCCTCTTCAGTAAAAAGGAAATAATAGTAGTTCCCTTCCTTAAAGAGGTGTTGCCAGAGTAAGTACATTAAAGAGCATACAATGCTGTTATACAGTGATTATGAGGTCATGCAACTGTGTAAAATAAGAATTGCTGTCAGTTTCTGTGCTACAGTGCAAGAAATGAAGCCATGGACAGTAAGAGGACTACACCTGGCTAGTTTGTGTTGTCATTTTCTTAAAAAAAACAAAATACAAAACCCCCGACCAGTACAGTTCATGCAAGTGGAAGAGCCTTTCGCCTTGGCCCGCAGTTCCAGACAGAGCTTATGGACATTGTAGAACACTGCATCTGTGGAGCATTGTAGAGATTTCATAGTATGACACTGCCATATATATATATATGTATATTAATGTTAGAGCTCTTCTACAGATACGAGTGGATGAACTTTTATGTGCTTTGGAAGACACTGTGATTCAGAATATCAAAATAGCCTTAACGTTTACATCAGGGTGGGGGGAGTTCTAAGAATATTTTAAGTAGTGTTCTATACCAGTTTCTGAGTTTTGGTGAATCTGTTCAAAATGATGCTTTACCTGACATCTTGCAAATGCAGTCTGTATGTACACAGTATGAAGGAGTGAACAGTGGACAAAACTGAGATCAAGGAATTCCGGGAGAATAATCTCTAGTTGGCTACCCATTTAGTGCAAGACAGGCTGTGTTGTCTCTTTTTTGTTTACCTCTTAAAAATACAGAATGTTGCATGTGACACGTGTTGTGAGGTTGGATAAATTGGTCTTAATATGTTGCTATAACTGTTGCAAAGTGTTACATAAATATTAACTATTCTAATAACATCAAGTTTGTTTGGGGGCAAGTTTCTTCAGCTACTTTCCCCAAATTAAATTTATCTTCAGTGTAGCAACTAGTAGAATGTTTTTCTGCCTCAGTTGATGTGAAGATCTCTTCCAAATGGGGGAGAACTGTGTAACAAATGTCAGCCTGCTGATGGGAGACTGGATGTTTGTTCTTATTGTTCGAAGATTTGTTGAAAATAGTAAAGTCATGAGAAGCTGTGGAACATAAATTGAACTAGTAAATGATCTGAAAGAAGATAGTGCTATCTAGCTGGTGTGGAAAAAACCTTTAGAATCCACTAGATGAGTTAAAAGATTTTAAAGGAGCATCAATCTTAATTTCTTTTTCTTTGGTGTGAGAGGATCAGGTTAGTGGAATCCATACACCTGAAGGGTTGACTAGTTCATTAGCCTTTCACTCTGAGAGTCAAAACTATAAGGGATTTTTTATTTATTTTTTTTTTTTTTAAAGGCTTGGAGATTTCTTTTGGCAGTGGTGAAGTGTTTATCACTGAACCTCTTACTGGCTTGTCTACTGAGTTCCTGTGTGACTTGCCAATTATTTATGGACTGATTTTTCACAATTAGGAAGGACTTACTGCTCCTCTTAATAGCAATTAAACAGTGTGTATCTTCAGGAAATACGTTATGACTTTAATTAGAATGTATTTATATTGTTCCAGGATTTGCAGAGAGAACTATATAAGTTCAGGAGGAAATGTAAAAGCATGGTATACTTCTGATTTTCTTAATGCTCGTAGAATTCCATGTGCAGGCAGATTAATGTGTGAACTGAGTCTTTTGATCAATTTAAAATAGCTTTATAAGGGTTCTTAAGAGAGGGCACTCGCCCTCATGCAGTTGTTGAATGACATTTTTCCTTTCTAGTTGTAGAGTGCAGGATGGGTGGTTTGTTTGGTTTCAGGTAGGTTTGTTGAACTGAAGCTTTAGGAAGCTTCTGACTTTGCTGTGAGTATGCATGAGGCTGTGGAAGCGCATTATAATGTTAGGAAGGGTACAAATAAGCCACCTCAGAAATGAGTGAGTCTTGCTTTGTATTTGATCCAGTATTGGTGCCAACCATCTGCTCTTTCTTTCTTCCACTGAAATCCCTGTGGCTAAAAGGAGGAGATTAGGCAGGTGACTGGCAGGTAACTACCAGGGAGCTCTGAATCTGGGGGCCCAAGAGTGCTCTGATTCTTTAATTAAAGATTCAGAAATAAGAGTGCTCTCTGGGCCCCTGGATTCTTCAAACCTTTCTGGTTTTCACCATGTGATGATTGTGTTTGCCCATATCTTTCAGTGTTCCTACTCCTAGTATTAACTGGCGTGTGCGTTTGCGTAGCTGCATTGTTGCAATGCCTGACGGCCCCAGTGATGGCTGAGAGCTTACTGTGCCAGCACAATAAAAAGACCTTTTATATTCAACAGTGACCACAAGACTTCTTAAAAGACATAGTTTTAGAAATTTGAACTGAAGTCCTGTCAGTGCTGTTAAAGACTGGATACTGGAGTAGTTTTATAATAGATCAGCTCAGTCAGTGCTGGCATCTGTCTGGCTGCAAGTGTGTGGATGTGGGCAAACTGAGATCAGCAGTGCTTCAACTTAGATAACTGCTGAAAAACAAAAAGATATTTCTGGGTTGAGGCAGGGACAGTCATATGACAAAGGAACAACTAAGTTATTGTGTGACCTTTTTACCTCATTTCTTGTCCCCTCGCTCTTCTTTGGCTATTGCTACCCTGTTGCATCATGTGTTAAGTTCTAAGTTCTTTGTGGAAGAATCCCCATCTAGCCTGTTAGTGGGTACTGTTAAAGATAACATGACTTTCATGACCTCAAAATGCTTTATGAATTTCAGTGTATTGGGTTTCGGGTATTATTCTCCTTTTATGAGCTGATCTGAAGTGGCTTGCTTAAGATGTGTGTCTGTAGCAGAGCTGGAAATTGATGCCAGATCCTCTGAGGTTCTACTTATGGTTTAGTCCCAGCTATCCTCCATCCAGACTGGGGTGAGTAACGATGCCTGCTTGATGGTGTTGAGAGTGTCTCTGCTGAGAGCCATGGTCTAGGTATTGGAGTGCGTTTATGTCTTTGATGAAGAAGCCTCTGGGAATGGGAAGTATCACCGTCCCTACACACTTTCCCCTTTCTCTTCCCTTATTTGTAGGCCATTACCTCCTGCAGAACCTTGAAGGGAATCTGTGAAGCACTCAGGCTGTGTCAATCCATACACTGCACACCTACATACGTCTGGTTTTGTGATGGAGTGCTGGAGAGGCCAAGAGACGGAAACAGCTGAACCTGCAGCAGTCTTCCCCGTTGCAGCTCAGCGCGTTCAGATGTGTCTTCTGCTCGGGGCTAAAGTGCAGAGAGGTTTTTGTCTGTCTCTGGGGTGTATCCGTGCAGTTCTGCAGCTGATGTGTTTGTGGCGGGAGAGGCATTCGGCACGAAGGACATGGACATGTTGTGGTTATGTCAGCTATGTGAGTGCCAGGGCAGGGAGAAGCTTTTGGCCTGCTCTTTGCCATTCTGACTTTAGAGCCCGCTGCGATTCCTGCCTGTTGGAGTATTGGTCTCTCTGTTGCTAGCAACTGCCTTCCGTGACAGCTCCAAACAAAAAAGCTTAAAATAGCTACCTAAGTGCTTACAATTAGAAGAACTGTTAACCGATTTCCAGTGGGAAAGAACAGTACGTTTGTGTAACTTTACAAAGCCTGTAAGCAGCGTTTTCTACTCCTTAACTGCTGTGCTCTTTCTGCGCTCTGGGGCTGCCCAGGCCTCTTCAGATCATGGTATTTATCATGATGACAGAATAGAACAACTAATAATCCTAACTGCAGTGCAGTTTATAAACATTAACTAATTTAAGAAACGTATGATATACCTGTTCTGCTAAACGGCAAGCCTGCACTGTGTTGCAAAGGCGTTTATGAAGATGGGCTGTCCTGCACATTTGTTTACAAAAAGCCCAGTTTACGTAGCCGTCTCTTTCTCATAGTTCTCTCCAAGAAGTGCATGTTGTTGCTGTGCAAGGCAAAAGATGAGTCTGGTGCAAATCATGAATCTTTCCGTGAGAATGATGTTTGGGCAAAATTTCAATTATTTTGGAAATACCACTCAAAAGTTTTTCCTGAGGATAAATTAATTGAGGATCTAACTTGTATTTGCTACAGTGCCTTTTCAGTAGCTGCTAGAAACAACACTTTCAGTTCCTTTAAAAATAAATCAGAGTGTTTTTTTTTTTTTTCCTCCTTCTGTTTCTTTAATAATCTGCTAAATTTTAAAATTCCAGTCTGTCTTTTTAATAGTTTTTCTTCCTCATCCATGGTGATTTTTTTTTTTTTCTGGTGGAGCTGTTTGTGTAAGCCAGGTTTTGCCTGGCTTGTTTCTTGTAAGGACAAGACTAATCAGCACTTAACACTTAACGGACATTTTCTTTGTAACTACAACTCTTTGTATCTTTCTCATCCCTTTAAAACAAAATTATGTGGAAAATACCAGGCTGAGAAGCGAACCTCATGCTTGTACCAAGCTTACAGCTTGAACTGAGGGAGACATCCCAAAATATAGATTATTTTTCGAGTGTTCCTTGAAAGTACACATCTCCCTTCTCATAGAACTGTTATCTGAAAACTTCATTTTGAGGTGCATCTGTTGAGGTTCAGACCCTATAATTTGAAAACTAAAAATCTTTCTTTATGACGTCCTGTGTACTAAAATGCATCTGTGTGTTTAGATGGAATGTGGAAAATTGTGGTGATAGGGGATAAATAAAACCACGTCTGTGGGTGTAAATAGTAGGTCAAAATGTAATCACAGTGCGTGCTTAGGTGAATTTTAAGATCATTTGAACAGTAAAGAAAGCCGCTCAATTAAATAACGTCTATGAGAACACATGTTCACTCCCTTCCTTCACTGTAATAGACCAGAATATTTTACTTAAGGCTTTGTATTTCTCCTTGGTTTGCTTAGTTCATGTGGTGTAGTTAATATTTTCTACTTAGGTATGTATATTTTTCCCAAATGATATGCTAATCCTACTTTTTGTGTTATTGTGGTTGCTGTAGGTAATTAATTTACGATGCTGAATGTCAGGAATGATCTAGACTGGAGCGCGGTAGTTTGTCACATCTGGTAGTGCAATACAAGCTACCTGATTTTGCTGGCACATGGTCCTTCAGCATGACCATTGTCTTGCCTGCTTCACGTCATAGAGCTAATGGATTTCACTTTTGAATCTCTGGTTAGTACGGTGGTTTAATACAGCTTTATCAATTCCCAGCCTCTGAAAATGGGGAAGTGAAAGTGGTAGCAAAGTAATTTTAACCATGCTGTTGAAGTCAGTCATAGCTTCAGTCTTTTTTCCCAATAGAAATGGGGTGATCATGTGAAAAATTTGGGTAGGCCATAAGTGTTTTCCATGTGTACTACTTTAGGTATGTTTTTTGCTAACCCTAGGCGGGCACCTTCAGGCAACAGTGGAAGTTGTCAAACTGCCTGGATGCCCTGTTTTCCCTTTTGTCTGTCTGTGAAGCACTTTCATCTCTTTGCCCCTATTTATGGGCTGTAGAGTTCCTTTTTTGCTATGCAGTGTTACGCAAACAAGTAAGCCTTCCCCATTTCATAGGCTTTATTGATTCTAGGACTTTAATGTAGTTCTCTAGATTAGTTTCTTACTTGGAGTGTTGGGGAGGGATGGTTGTCACCTACTTACTCTTTTGTAGTGGGCTTCTTTTAAAACTGGAGACCGGTTGGTGGTGTATGTCCACTTCGGGATTCAGTCGCTGCTTTTCGGTGCTGGACAAGACGCCTTTCGCTTTAGAGACGGGCTTTCTAGGTATCTGTGGAAAACGCTGGTCCATTTGGGATAAGGTGACAGGGATGTAAAACCACCATGTGCTGTTTACGTTTCTGGCTTTCTTGGACAATGTTGTGTTTCTCGGTTGCTTTGAGCTTTCCCTTGCCTTTCTTCAAAAGATAGATTGCTGTACTTTGCGGTATAGAATTTATAAATATGGTCTGTTTTCTGTTTTTTCTTGTTCCCTCCCAAGCGATGTGTAGGAAAGCTGTGCTGTTATCCTTCCTGTTCAAGGTGTCTGAAGGTGGTGAGTGGGAGGTTGCAAACAATATGCAGGAATTTTGATGTAGCTGACTGTCTGGAGGAAAATGTGACAAAGTGAGTGTGCAGGAGAGGCTTTTGAGGGAGAAATTGAAGCTGTTTTCATACACAGCAGAGTAAGCATAGGATACAGGTAAGCCGTGCAGTAAGCTTTGCAAGTCTTCTGCCAAACACAAAAACTGTCCCATGTTTTCATTGCTTTCTTAGTTCTTACTCAAGACTGTTGGAATAGGTGGTGGTGGTGGTTTCATAGGGACAAATTTCTGTTACTTGGAACAAGTTTCTTGTTTGTGATGCTCTGTAAGTCTCCCAGTCCTTTGAACAAACAAACCGCCAAAACCAGAAATAAAACCCATCTTATTGAACTATCTCTTGCCCTGCTATTGCACTGGAGGAATTAAATTTTCTTTGCACTTTCTGCACATGTGTAAACAGGGCACCCAATTTTTTAATCTTCTGCCTGTAGATTTAAACCCATGTTTTCTTGTAGGATTGGAGAGGAGCTGGTAGCTAGTATCCTATATTCTGTTCTTGATTTTTGACCTTGTTTGTTGTGCGATATTAGAAGAGAGTTAGTTCCTCTGTTTTTGTTCCTCATTGGTAAAACGTGTGTCATGATTCTTTGCCTGTTTTATAAATCTGGGATTTGATCATCATAATGAGCAAATTAGAGAAGGAAGGCTCGATTGCTGTCTCAGAAGGACACAGAGTTGCTTGCTGTGTTTGACTTAAACGTAAAATTTGTTCTTGGAACCTGTTCATCATCATTAAAAGTGATAGCTTCTTACAAGGAGATCAGTAACTTGAGTTGCTGGCAGCAGGAGGATTTAGTGAGAAGTGATTCTCATCACTCTAATTTGACAGATTTCTCGTAAGGAGCTGTGACAGCATTGTTGCAGTTAAGGCTGAGAATGTACATTAGCTAGAACCAAGGAACACTTTTGATTTTTCACGTGAAAAACACTTAAAGTATTTAAAAGCTAAGATTAACACGTGGTGAAATAGAAGATTGTCTATGATCATTATTCTCTGCATCGTTAATTTTGCCAAGGTGTGCGAAGTCAGAGCCTTTCCCAGGTCATTTCTGCAGCATACTGTCAGAGAGAATTGTGTGCAAATGATCTCAAAGGAGATTAGGAATGTGCAAAACGTAAACTTGCTTATCATGCCGAATATAGGTGGTGTAGCAAATTTGCTAAGCAAAGCACAGGACAGCACAGCCCTCAACAGGTGGGCTGAAGAGTGGAGTTTAAGGTTACTATAGTGTGTGAGTTCGTGAACTTGATATCTGAAATTGTACAAACATAACATACTTAGTGAGGAGAGTATTTAAAGAAATTGAATAATGGTGGATGGTTATTAAATATACAGGCAAAAAGTTTTAAAGGGAGATAAAGATAATTTAAATGGTTGCAACTCAGTGGTGTTAATTTGACCTCTAAATCAAATAACCTTTTAACTTAAAAAAACCCCCAAAACATTTAAAAGGTTGTATAGCAAACTCTCTGGGCTCATGATAAACTGGGGCAAGATGGTTGCAACAGATAGGTTCTGCAGAATCGTTCAGACATGCCTACTTTGGTTTGAGTAAAACATGCTAATGGGTGCTCAGGGCTGGTACCAGCCTAGTGAGTGGTTTGGAGTGCCTGTGCACTGCGCTCCTCAGATATCTCTGCTTTGAAAGGACTTCATTAATTTGAGAACAGCATCCTGGATGCAGGCAGAGACTCCTAAGTCCTGTTGTATACTTAAGTCCTTCAGGAGGCTTTGCCTAAATCTAGCCCATGCGGTGTTTTGTATGTATTTATGGTTTTCTTTAACGCTCCAATGCAGATATGCTGGATAAGTTTTAGCTAAAAATGCGAACTCCTAACTTCTCGCAATATAGGTGCAATAGGTTACTTTGCTAATGTTTCTTTCATTTCAGAAAATACTGCCTAAGTGCCCATTGGGTATACATGTATCTAATTTGACCTTTTTTTTTAGGTCTAGATGAGAAAACCTTGCAACACAAAAATTTCCTTAGAAATTAGAAAATATTTACAGTATTAGAGGAGGTGACATACAATTTGTATTCAATTGAAGAAAGTTTGAGGGATGTTCTTGCGTGCCAGAAGTTCCTGGAAGTGAAAATAACTGATGATGTTGCATGCCAGTTCTCAGAGTTATTAAGACAAAATATACTGATGCTAGGTTCTGCTTTTTCCCTGCAAAGTGTAAAGGAAATGCAAGGTATCATATCACTTGAGCATATTTTGAGGCAAGACATAGTATCTTCTGGGAATTAGGGTATCAGAACTGGCTCTGCTTGATTCGAAAGTAAGAGATGGTCAGGGGTGTACTGCTCCAAAGCACGCTTAAGCCTGGAAACGTGTTGCCATTTTACTGCGCTACTGCAGGCTGACTCTTGTGCTGAATTTAAAGTAAAACAAAACAAAAAAACCCCAAAGCTGGTAATTGGCTAGGATGATGATACTGTGAGCTCATTTCTCAACCCCAGGGAGGGAAGCCTGCTTAGTCATAGAGCCAGCAGTGCTCAGGCAATGAAGCTGCCAAGTGTGAGCTTTCCTGGAGCATAGTCATGCTGCAGCTTGAACATCTATCACTTCAGCTTGAACTACAGACTATTATTATTAGGGTGACCCACCAAGATATTTTTCTGCAGATTTTTCTATATAGAAAGGAGGTTTAAAAAGCTAGTTTTATGATGCTGGATGCACCAAATCCTCTTTTATTTCTTGCTGACCACTTAGCTGGGATTTATTTTTGCATGCAACTGGGAGAACCGGGATGTTCAGTAAGTGTGTTTGTTCAAAGCACCTTAAATGACTTTCCTCCTCAGTAATGTCATTTCACTATCCCAGTGTTTGTGCTGCTGTAACTTCAGTTGTTCTTCAGTCACTAGTGTCTTCTTAAGTGACAAGATAACTTTCCTAAGAGGCATATAATATTTTTTTAGGACTCTATAGAACACACAAGTACGTATTCCTCTCCCTCCTTTAGGTTATGTCTGAACTTACTTTTTGTGTGAACTTGGCATGTTAATACTTCTGTTACATCTCTTTCCTAGATGGGTGCAGTTCTAAACTGGTCTGAGTTAGGCTTTGCAATGCTGGTGGCTTCTTATCTAGTAATGGAAAAAACAAAGCCAAAATCCACACAAGAGAGAGCTGTGCTAATGCAGCACTTTCTCACCATTTGGAGACTCCTCTTTCTAAAGGTCTTCTGGATACTTGTGTGTATGTGGTAGTTGCAGATCTCATGTACCTCTATTGAGAACATAAACAGCTGTTTGGTTTTTTTTTTTTTTTTTTTTTTTTTTTTTTTTTTTAAGAAGGGTTAAACGAGGACCCTTGAGATTGTATGCTGGCTTTTGGGCAGTTATCACTGCATTCTTCCTCAAAGTGTAGACAATCTACAGCAGAGCTTTTAAAGGTTGTCTGGCAGTTTTAAACTTGATCTAATGATTATGTCTTCTGATATGCAGAATAACTTGCATTTTTTTATCAGAATTTTGTGAGTGATCAACACAAAAGCACTCAGAAGCATCGGTGGAAGAAAAACTGTTACAATGCGGTCTAGTTCGGAGAGAAAAATAGCTCATGATTTCAGAAAATAAGACAGTGTCAGAAACCACTGTTAGTAGTATTACTTCAGGTACTGTGGTTTAGCTGTTAGCTCTGTTACATTTGTGGCAGTGCTGCAAAAAGCAAGGAGAGAATATAACATGAATGCACCTGAGAGGCATATAGCAACCTTTCTACCTCTACATTTTTGCTACCAGGGATCCAGTTTCCTGCTGTACGATGTTTTTTCCACTCCTAATGAAGTTTTGAAATGGGAAAAACTTACTTTATTAAATCCTCATTTGTGTACCAGTTGCAGTTTAGAGAGAATTTTCCATCTCACGTGTCCATAATTTCTCCTAGGGTTATTTTTGTCCTGTTGAGAGAGGACTGGAAAATGAGCCGAGACGATGTGCTTAGAGGAGGGAGGAACGCCCTGGCTCCGTGATACGGAGTGGCAGAAGTCCATAGTTTGTAGCCAGGGCAAAGGGGGAGGGAGCGTGGGGGGGAACAGCTATGTAACAGCCTGAGGAAGTGAGTCACTTCGCTCTGAAACACAGGCCCATGGTTCCAGTAGCGCTGAAGCCAAGAGAGGCCTCTGAGGTGGAAGTTGCGTAAGTTAAACTCTTTTGTCTTTTCCTCCTCATGCTCCCAACCCCAGTATTAAAATCTGCACTGTAGCCATATCCGTTTAGAGGAAGCTCAGGTTACAGGACTTCAGCATACTCCATGCTTTTGTTTTAATATTTGTCATTTTAGAGAGTGAAACAGAGAAATTGACTCAACAGTACTGTTGAGTTACTGTTAAGCAGGTATTCTTTATTCGAAGCCCTGGGGTCGCCCTGGGGATTCTCCATCATAAGGGCTCTCCCGAGTTAGTAAGAGACATCAGTTTTCATACATAAAGATCATACATATTCATTATGGGAAGGCTTGTCTTATGATAATGAGTTCTCAGAATCCATTTACATAAGTTGACACCCCTTTGAGCATGTGTCCTAAGTTCTGTTGGGGGTCTTCCGTGGTTGAGGGAAGAAGTAAGTAGTCTTCCTCACAGTGTTCGCTAGTTGACCTTCTTTCCAGAGCATGCGCTGTGAAGTAAAGTCCAGGTGTCTTCCTCCTCAATCAGCACAAATCATCCTCCACATTACAGGGTCTCTGTATCCTTTTGTTTGAGTCCCTCCTATCTTAGTTTGCACATTCCAGGAACTGTCCGAGTGCCCATTGAAGGTCTTGAGTCTCAGTTACGAGTGATTTACGTAGGAAGCCTAATGAGCATCTTAATCTTACCTAAACAGACAAAGAGGCCTAAGGTAACAGTTAGGGAGTCTTGGGGAACAAAGATACAGCAAAACACAAGCAAAGCGTTCATATATCACAGTTTAGTCCTAATCAAGGACTGTCATGAATTCATTTGTTTGACCTCTTTCAAGAGAGAGATAAATATATTGCACGTTTCATTGGAGGGGATGTATGTGTTAGTCTTACCTGCTCCACTCAAGAGAAACCTGATTTTATAGCAGAAGGGATGCAATAGGAATAGGTTTTTAACAATTTATCTAAATCTTTCTGAAATATATTGGCAATGTGATTTGAAGTGGAACAGTGCATATTGAAAAGAGATAGTAATGGAGACTTAATAACTTGAGTGTTAGTAGTAGTTTAAGAATTTAATTAAATTTAAAACTAAACTTCTTAAAAGGTTTTAGGTGTCTTAACAGAAATACTAGTGTATGTCTTAACACATTAGACCTTAAGCCTGCAAACTAGGCTTTTAAAGCCCAAGTTTGTGGATAGCTTTTTTTCTGTAGAAGAGGAGAGTTGTCCCAGACTGCATGTGCAGGAAAGTCTTTCTCCTGTATGTTTGTAGCTTTACACAGACAGATACTTGCTGGTGTCCAGGAGCAGCTGTAACAGTCTGCCTGAACTACTCTTCCATGAGTGTGACCTGAGCAGGAGCAGTTGCTTTCAGCTGTTGAAGAAAGCATCTGGAAGGGCGACAGGTTGAGCAGGCCCTGTCTTCATCCAGCACTTGGGTCCTTGGTGGGCAGCTCTTAATTGGAAAGCAACTGTAGTGATTAGGGGAGGGGGAGTGAACGATGGACTGCTGCCTCATCCTTTCCTTCAAAACACCGACTTTGAGCATCTTGCTGCGTGTTTGGCTGCAGCTTTCGTGTACATGTCTTATGTTTTAAATGTCCTTGGGAAATGTGGCCTGACACGTTATTTTTCTTTCGGCGAGTCATGAGGGGTTTTTTTGGTTTGTGTTTTTGAGTTCAGATTAAAAACAGATTATTCTGGCTACAGGAAGATGTAGAAGTAATTGGCCAGATGAGAGGGAGTTTAAGAGAAAAACCTTCATGATGAGCTTGAGTGATTAGTCAGAAGTCTGTGTGCAATTGGGAGTTTGCATCACGCAAGTACAGTGTGGTATCTGTTTTGTAAAACTAAGCTGTTTTGGTTTACATTCTTCTAGCAGGTCAGATCTGTTATTTCTTACACATACTATCCTGATTTCACTTCCATGGGAAATGGGACAGACACACACATTGTTGCTTATCGCGTGAGGGTTTATGTGCCAGTTATGTCTGTTGATGATTCATTGCCATTGCTTCTCTATTTCAGGACCTGTAACTAACTGGACCCTACTGACCTCTGAACCACAAAGGATAAGAGTGAAAAGAAGTGGGAGAAGCACACGAAGAAAAAGGAAGTGGATATACTTTCATCTAGACTTCTTTCCTGCCCTTTATTACTAAAACTGAATGGAAAAGAGAGACTTCCGTGCCTTTCCTCCCCCAACCTCAGGGATGGGTGGATTGTAAATACAGTGTGTGCAACTGGGAGAATAGACTGAACCATGAATCTTCAGGCTCAGCAAAAGTCTTCAAGCAAAAGGACTGGGAAACGAATTGCCTATTTTAATGAGCAGGAAATAGCTGTGTCATCAAAAGAACCACAGCAGCAGCTTAAGGAAGGACAGTACTATGGTCACGGTGGGAATATACCTGTCTCCCAAACCATGGAGATTTCTCACGCAGGAGGATTAACAAGTGCCCCCAACAATGTTGCTTTGATGAACTCTGTTTACAATCACGATAGAGCAGAATCAATGATGATGCCCCAAACGGTGGCAGCTGTCAAATGGCAGAATTCACTGATGGGAAACCGGTTGCCAGAGAGGGGTGACAGCCACTGGCAGTCTCCACCTTCGATGTGGAATCACAGTATGGTTTTTGGGGGCAACCCAAAAGGACCTCACTCCAATGCTGGTGCCCCGGGCTTCTATGGCCACTCCGAAGCTCTTAAAAGAAGTCAAGAGAAAGGAGTGTTTGTGTCACAGCTGGACTTGTATGGAGATGCTGTCCAGCAGATGATGTCCCAGAAGGCTCAGCTGGAGCAGCAAGCCCTGGTTAGACAGCAAGCTCAAATGAATTCTTTTCATCAGATGCAGAAACAGCAGCAGCAGAATCAGAGTCTGCCGTTACAGCCTTTCCAACTTGCATTTGGTCATCAAGGCCAAAAGCAGGGTCTTCCTGAATTGTTACATGTCTTTCAAGAGGCCCCAGCTTCTTCCAGTCCAGCATTTACTGCTCAACAAAAACAGCAGGCTCTTCCCCAACTACAACTGTTTGAAAATTTCTATCCTCAACAGCAGCAGCAGCAACAGGCTGCCACACAAGCCTTCAGTCTGCAGCAAACTACTTCCATAGCACAGCCCCATGTGGCAGCTGCAGCACCTCAGCATCACATGATGGCACACCAGTTTCAGCAAACAGAGAGGAACCAGGAACTATTCAAGGCTCTAACAGAGCAGAACCAACAGACTGTGCTACCTCAGACCCAGATTCCCTTTCCAAGAAGGTCACGGAGACTCTCCAAAGAAGGTATTTTGCCGACACCTGCAGGAGAAGCGTTGGCTTCCAAGCAGGCAGAAGAACAACCTAGCAATTTATTTCTGCATCACTGGCAAACACATCCGCAAGAGGTCCCATTACAGCAGCCACCTGAATCACTGGCCCACAACAAAAGTAGCTATTCGCACCCCAAGAGAATGGATCTGGGGCAGAAGGATGTCCCAGTCAACAGTGAGCTGTGCCAGATGGAAACAGACAGGCAAGCCACAGCCCAGAACGGTAGAGATGGGGAGAAACAGGTAGAAGCAGCTGAAGAAAACGCTCAGAGAAGTAATGATTTTCAGGGTGTCCGAGGTGGGGTAATCCAGAGTACGCGACGGAGACGGCGTGTATCTCAAGAAGCCAATTTGCTAACTCTGGCCCAAAAAGCTGTTGAGCTGGCCTCTCTTCAGAATGTAAAGGTAAGTTATACATCCTAACCAATATGGCATGTTTTAGACTACAAAATAGGACTGAAATGAAAGGAATTTACCTACATATGCATGATAGGATGATATCTTGATGCAAGACGTATTGTAGTACAGCAAGGGCAGCTCTGGAGTGGTGGCATATAAGTTCAGCTACTGTAATTTGTAGATGTGGGAGAATAGAGACCTCTTGGTGCAGTGAAACCACCTAAGGGCAGTTTTATTTCAGTAATACTGAATGTGGTTTTAGCCTAGGGCTTCAAATATGGACATTTTCAGCTTAGGCCTCAAGCTGATCAGAAATTCAGAGAGACAAGTATAAGCAGTTCAGTTTGTGTCTTTTTACCAATTTATCGCTTTTTTACGTTAAAAGACTGTTGCTTACCTGCCAGTTTTTTCAGTTTTACCAGTTGTTTTCTAAATTCTGCTGTCTAAAAACTACATAATGCAATTTACACGTTCAATATTTCCCAAATATTAAAAGCCTGAGGAAGCTTCACTGACATGAAGAAATTATACCAGTCCTAACAAAGGTCTGTCGGGGGCTGTGTCCCGTTTCTGAGAATGACCTGCAGCGAATGTTTGTGGATTGGTAACCTGAGGACATAGTCTGTCTGTAGAGCTTCTCTAGGGCTTGATGGGGAAAAAATTTAGTGTTGGCTGATTAGGTAGTTCACTACTCTTATCCTTTTGGTGTCCCATCAGTCTGAACTGTACAGTGTGTATTCCGTACAGCAAGATGACAGGGTTCAAAATTAACTAGCCTAGGTGAGGCAAGTGGTGGGGTTTTTCTGAGGGGTTTTTGGAGCTTTTCTTTCAGTTGTGGTTTGACTAATCTTTCATTGAGAGTGTCTCGTGAGAAGTAAAGATAACTTTTCTTGGGAAGCTTTGTTGCAAGAGGCTGATGAAGTGTGAGTGTTAGAGCATGAGCTACTTTTATGTACAGTTTTGCCACTTGAGTTGCTGCCCAGTCAGACACAAAGGGAAGGGAATTTTATTCCCTCTCTTGTTCTTGTCATCATTTTTTTTCCTAGTCTGTCTGTGGCTGTTTTTTCCAATCCCTTCCTTAGAGGGATGTGCTATTTGAGTGAAAGAACTGAACTAATAAACAATGAGGCAAATATCCATAGCCTACTCCATTTCTTGCAGAGCAGACAACACAGTGACTGCTGATGCTGTCTTTAATCCTTTTGCTCTAACTCCAGTTGAACAAGCAGATTTGATAGAAAACTAGGAGTAGTTAGTAGCGTGAGCTATTTGCTCATGCTCTCCCAGCTGTTGTATGGTTGTATTGCAGGGAGGCCTCTAATTCACACTGCAGACTGATCACCAACACTGTGGCAAGACAAAGCCAAGAGAGTATCTAGGAACAGGCCCTGAGAGGCAAAGCGAGAAATTGGCCATTTGAAGGCATGTCTACTTGCAGCTTGATTCACAATGTAAAGACTGAACATGGGAGTGTTTTGACAGATGCTCTTTTGTTCTTTGCAGTTATACAAGCAGCTTGTTTGCTTCCATGATGACACTAGCAGAACTCTTTATGTTTAGATCTCTTAGGCTTCCAGGGTGAGGTTTTGAAAGATGTTAAAATTCTGACCTGAGGTCTGATGGATTTTACATCTTTAAGGTAGCTGGATATCATGTGAGGGAGAAAAAGGAACATGTTTACTGGAGGAGAGTGGTCTGCTGCTCTTACCAGTGTCTTTATTATAAACAACCTAGAAGCCTTCTCTAGCAGAGGTTATGTGAAGAGCATCTAAGAAGGACATTGATGAAAGAAGACACGTTCATAATCTGAACCAGTTGTTTGAACACTCCAGTGTAGATGAATACCTTAGGCAAAATTAGTATTTGAACAGTAGCATCTGTCTACATGTAGCATCACAACTGATGCTTTGCACCAGAGCTGCCCATCATACTGTGCCTGCCTATTTCAGGTGGTGCAACAAATTCTCAACTGATACACCAAAAGGAGGAGAATCTTCTACAGCTTCTAGATTGCAGTTCATCGGAGCTCAAGAAGGCCTTTTGCATCCCTGAAGAGCGAGAGATGCTTTTAAAAGTTGTACTTTAACATCTGGCTTCTAAGTGAGCTGGCAACTACTTTTGAATTGAGAGTGGAATGAACATGTGGATAGTCAGCTGAAGGACTAGAAATCACTGATCTAACAGTACTGAAGTCATCTGGTGTTACAGTATCCCTGTTTTTATTCAGGGATTTATACATTCTTCATTCCCATATCCTTGGAGCTCAATTTTCTAGCGTTTCCATGAGTGAAAGAAAGCAGAGACATGGCAGCTGTAATACCAGTGAAAAAAAGTGCTGGTTTGCAGTTACACCATGTTGATTCTGCTGAGAAAGAGTCCTTCAGGCTCAAGCCTCCTGACTCTTACATCCTCAAAGACTCCAGTTATAAGAAGGAAAGTTGCTTCTGTCATGTAAATTGGAAAAAATGCAGTGAAAAGCTATCTCTGTTTTTTGTATGAGAGATTTAATTAAGATTATCATGGTTCAGGCTTTCCTGGAACAGAAGTCCAATATTTGAAATTAATAACCTGCAGCTTATGATCATTACTGAGACTTAAGAACCTTTGTTGGACGTTACATGGCAAGGCACAAATTCATCTGCAAAATACAGTGCCATACTACAGGTAGTGGAATGATACTTAAGAGCAATGTATACAAATATTCTAGCAGTTGAGACTTCAGGCAATACTCAGTTCTAAGAAATTTTGGTAACACTTTTGCGAAGTGTTCTTTTTCTTCCAGTAACATTTTTCCAAATCCATTTCAGCTTGCAAATTGCATTGAGAAACTTGATATGCATTGAGAAACTTGATATGCACTGAAAGTGAGATATCATTTATTATGTTAAGTGCTGCAGAACTTCCAAGGAATCTATTTCTCTTCTCAGGAACTGGATACTTCAGAAGAGAAGGGTGTGCTGATAGCAGCTCCAGGACCTACAGCTGCAAAAAGTGTTGTGGAATTCGCCAGTTCTCCACCAGCTCCCAAAAGAGCCCGGGAGGATAACAGTCTTGTGCCTCTTATCATTCCTGTGTCTGTGCCAGTGAGGAAAATTGACTTCCAGAACCTTGGAAAGGAAAAGTCTGAAGATGGGAAGCTCCAGAAAGGTCAAACAAATGATCGATCTCCTTGTGAACGCAAGCCTTCTGTGATAGTCACTCGGCGGCGATCTAATCGTAATGCTAACATGGAAACCTCAAATCAGGTACGGATAGACCAAGAAACCAAAGATGAGCCATATCTGCTAGGTTTAATTATGTAACTTTTATCCATATGCTTTTCTATTAAAGTAGTTTAATCTCAAGGCAGAGAAATGGCAGGCATCTAAGGAAGCCTCTCTGCATTTAAATGCTTGACCATCTAAGACAATACTATCTTGTCTTTGTTCTCTTACCGCTATTTGGTGTCACCCTGTATCTGTACCAGGGTTCTGCTGTACTTTTATGTCCTCTTTTAAAGCTACCACGAGGTCATTATCTTTACAGCCAAAGACCCAAAGACTGGACCAGACATACGTGTAGTTCTTGTAAAATATAACTTCATAACCACTCAGAGCTAGTGTTGCTACCTAATGGTTCCTGTGTGTCCGTCCCATTACCCATCATCTTCCTCACTTTATCCCTTTGTGTTGATTCTTGAGACACCCTCCAACTGCCCTATCCAGATTTTGAGCTGCCATGAAAGAATGTTGTCATCCCACTGAAGTTTTTCAAATGAAATGAGCTTTTAAAATGAAATTAAGTATGTAATTCTTTTCTCATAGCATGAAGATGCTGTTCCAAAGGATGAAGCAGAGGGCTTTGCCCGGAAACCAAAGCAGCGACCAAGACCTGAGCCACTTTTCATACCACCGAAAGCTGGCACCTTTATTGCACCACCTGTTTATTCTAACATTACTCCATATCAGAGCCACTTACGGTCACCTGTCCGTCTGGCAGATCATCCTTCAGATAGGAACTTTGAGCTACCTCCTTACACTCCTCCACCAATTCTTAGTCCAGTGAGAGAAGGATCTGGGCTATATTTTAATGCTATCCTCTCTTCAAGTGGCCATTCGGTTCCACCTCCAATGACGCCTAAAAGTGCTCACAGAACTCTTCTTAGATCAAGTAAGTTCCACTTTATCCTTGCTTTCTTGGCTGATTTATGATTAGGATCTGTGGAGTAATAGAAGGAAGATCGTGACTTTGGGAGCTGTGGTTAGGTGGGACTTTGTGATAGTCTGAGAAGCTAGGATGGAGGAAATGCAATGCTGCTTCCAACTGGGCATGCATGTTAAGATGCATTCACAAGTAATCTGCAACACCCCCTACTGACGTTCTTAGGGATGGAAGTCAGTTCCTCTAGAATAGATTGTCATTATCTTGAACGGAGGGGACAGTAAATAGTTATTACTAAGTCGTAGATGGTGACTGGAAGGTAAGTTCTTGGTCATCTTAACCTCCTTTAGTGTATGGGTACCTTTTTTGAGAGATGGAGAGATCTGATTAGATTTACAAACTCTGTGAAGAATATATCTCAAGTGAAGATAAGCTGTCTGAGCAGTTCTTTCTTTTCCTTGCAGATAGTTCAGAAGTTACCCCTCCTGTTCTTACGGTAGTCGGGGAAGCCACCCCAGTCAGCATTGAACCGTAAGTACCCAGAATATTCTCAGCCTGGTAGTAAACATGCTTCCTTTCTTCCTCCTAAGCCTCCAAGCTGATCCCTCTACAGTCGATGTATCTCCTAGAAACATAAAAGATACTCCTTCTGGTGACTCAAAATATGAATTGTCTTTATTTAAAATTACTCCATATGATAAATAATGTTTGGGCAAATGCACCGTGTAATTCTGGTGATGTTAACTTCTTTGTATTACTGCTCGTCTTTCTGTGGGCTGAAATACTATTGGTTAGCTAAAAGTGAATCTGTCCTGTTATGTTGCATACAAACCCTTCTTTGTATGCTGTATGTTTGGTTTAGAGTGGGGAAATAATGCTCCTTTAGAGGAAGGCCAAAACATAGTATGGGAAAATGTAGTTAGCTGTCACATGGACTGGTCAGATTGCAGGTCATCCATGCGGTGTGCATTAGCTGTAGCACAGCTGTGAACGTGACTTTGCTCCCTCCTGGGCTGGCTCAGTCTGAAAGCACTGTAGCCAGTTGCACACAGTGTGTGTGGCCTCAGCTAATAAGCCTCATTAGTCTTTTTAGCTGGCTGTGTGCTGCGAAAGCTCAGACATAATGTGGACCCAGCAGCGCTAGGGAACACAGTTTGGAGTTAGTGAAGCTGGAGTCAGGAGCTTAGGCTTGGTGCCAGTCCTGCTAAACCTGAGCAGCGTAGCAAAAAAAAGCCCTTGCAAATCTTCTGGGAGTATTAATCAGCTCCAGTTCAGTGCTGTAGAACTACAGTGAGTTAGTTCTGATTCATTGTTATACCTAGGTTAATGAACTCTTGTGAAATCTAAACATGGAGGTGCATGGCATGGAAACACCCATATGGCACAAAAACACCCACGTGGCACTGCATTGCTGACTCTGTGCAGTCTGGAATCTCTGCTCTAACTGCAGCGTATCCTGTAACATTTGAGATATTTAACTCAAACTCTTCCCAAATGAATACCAGGTTTCCTTTTTCTTCTAAAATGGCTTGTATTTTAAAAATTGGCCAGAGCATTTGCTGTCAATTTATTTTTCCTTGCCATTTTTCCATTCTGCCTTCCTGTTTGAAGCTGAGTTTTCTGCTCTTTTGGCAGCAGGCTGTCCTGAGCAAATGTTGCAATTGTGAATACACCCAGATTATTCTTGTCACCTTTGCAAATCCCTTCCAGGCTGAGCCCATTCATGGAAATAAGCGCATTTGGTGTTGTTTAAATCTGTTTTTAAAATGGCCTAATTAATCTTTTTGGTTTTGGTTCATTTCACACTAATCCTGGGGAACCTCATCTTGGACAGATATTTTTTTGTTCTCTTCCCAGGTCTTGATCTTTGATCTCTTTATGATGCAGTTGTCTTTGGCTGTTGTGTCTGTTGGTTTAAATTGCTGAAGCTAATGACATAAAGTTAGCTGCAGTTTTAGTCATATGTGAAAATTTTCAGATTTGTTGATGGAAACTTCAAACTATTGTAACTTAGTAATGCAAGTTCACTTCCTGTGGCCAAAAGGAGTTAGGTGCAGAGAGTTGTCCTACTGTCATTTTAAGTCTTGTTGAACAGATGCTTATGTAGGTAGATAGCTTTAACTGTTAACCAAGATAAATTAACGAAGTGGTGTCATTGTGTTGTCAAAGTAATCAGTTTGCTGCTCTAAAGCTAGTTTGTGCAGCACTGTTGTGGTCAGTTATGTAAACATAATCTTCTATGAAGGAAACATGGAACGAAGTTTGGTTTTTTTTTTTTTTTTTAAGGAGAAAAAAAAAGTTCCATTTTATTTGTAGTCTTGGTTCTGTCAGAAGTTGACTGTAACTTGTGATTACCCAATACTGTGTTCTTAATTGCTTGTGCTTTGCCAGACCTTCTGCTAATGCTTCTCAAAAGGTCATTTCATTGCAGAGATTTAGAATAGGAAATGCGATAATGAAACTTAATTCTTCTATTAGTAAAGCAGTACAATAGGCAGCTGGTGTCAACAGATCTTTGTGTCCTACAGGTTTTGTGGTTCAGTTGTTTCAAAGCCTTAAAGTCACCCCTCAGCTAGCCAGCCTTAAGTATAGCTGTGGTGCATCAGCTGTGAATTGCCTTCCCAGTCCACAGCCTCAGTTCTGGATGTGACCAGGCTCAGCTGTGCACTGGGATGTCCCAGGAGCACTATCAGTGCTCACAGAAGAGTGCTGTTGCTGTACTGAAATCTAGGCGGCTGCTGCTGGGCCAAGCCCCAGCTTAGGGCAGACCAAATTAGATCAGGTTACCCAGGTCAACTATTGCAGTAGCAATCTGGTTTTATTTGAGCATTGCAGGTATGAGGTCTGATTCTTAGGCTTTTCTAGCTCAGGGATGCCATATTCTAAGTTTAGTTTCAAGATTAAAGTAACTTTTGATAGCCTTTCAAGAAGGCCCACATTCTTTCCCTGCAGCTTTTCCAGTTGCCTCTCTCCCTCTCGCAGGTGAGGTCAGAGGAGTCTGTGTCTTGGAACACAAAATTCCCCAAATTTCTCAATGCAGTAACAGCCTTTTAATCTGTTTCCAATTGACAGCAAAGTGTCATTTTAGAGCAGCTCTCTCTTCTAGGGTGGATCATAAACCATAACCCTTTCCTCCCCTGTGAAACTGCATACTGAAACAATAAGCAAGACTAACCACAGTGAGCAGAAGACTCCACATGAACATCATTCTGCAGTCCATCACAGCGTGCTGAAAGGAGGACTTAACAGTGTTTGTCTTGCTTTGCTTTTTGGCACAGTCTTCTCAGTCTTGCATGAAATCTCTTGCTTTTTTTTTTTTTTGTCTTGATTGTGCTGTATCTGTCAAAAATAATCAAGACAGGTGAAGCAAAAATGGAAAACTGTGTAGTGTTCTCGTTTTAATAGACTTCTGTACCTGTAAAACACTCAAAACCAAGCTTTGAGGTTTTCTTGGGGTTTTTCATTTTCCATGCAGGTTCCACTTTCCGTGTGCATTTGAAATTGAATTACTGTTGAGAAGCAGATCCTGAAACAGTTACAACCATGGGCATCGGAGATGGGACCTTTTTGCCTGCTTTAGTTCTCCCCTGCCCACAGCCATGATGAGATGTATAATAGTCCTGTTACTTTACCTTCGACATGTATTGGAGATAGTGTTTTGGGGAAAATGACAGATGGCAGACTGTCTAAAATTTTCCTGCGAGATCTGTCATGCTGGATGTCGTTGTCACTTACTGGAAGGAAGTTAGCATCACTCTGTGGGTCTGGCAGATTCAGGTAGGAATCCCACCCCATCCATGTCGAGCTGCTGCTGAGCAGGTGGATGAAGTCAGGACAAGTGTGTAATACTTTCATAATAGACAAGCGTGTGTCATTTCAGGACAGCAGAGGACCAGAAAAGTCAGGAGGCTGGCAATTCTCAGATTTTTTGTTGTTATTCTTTATTGTACTGGATCATGCATTTTCTCTGGTAGTGGTGTTTCCCCTAATGCTGAGGAGAATGAAGCTAAGACTTGAGAACTATAGCAAACCTTGTCTTGGGTGAGGAGTTTTACCTTTTTTCTAATGAAGGAACTCAAGAGTTTAACTATGTTGTGGGCACTGCCTGATCTGCTCTCAGAAAAAAAAAAAAAAAAAGCTCATTTCTCCATCCTTTACTATTTCAGGACCTACCAGTATGGTGCTAGTTGACTGACATCTAAAAGAGGAACATTTTTGCATTAAGCATAGATATCTTATTTCAGAATAGATTTCATTATGTCCTAACTGGTCTGAGCAACAGCTGCTTTCAGATATCTTGTCTTTCTGATATCTTGGGGTTCTGAAGGGTCTTCTTGTTAGCTTAGCTTGGACATTTCTTTTCTTCTCTCTTCTGGACCTCTGAATTGCATGCATGATTGCTCTATTACTTAGAAAGTTGTCCTTGGACTTATTTTACACTGAGTTTGTGTAGCTATTGCTCTCTCTGTGTATTTTGCCACTGAGTAAGAGATGTAGAGGAATGACAAAGGACATCCACGCTCTCGCTGTTTGCTGTGCTGTTGGTGTAGACCTCCAAGTCTGGTAGAGCAGTCTTTCAGTGGTGGATCTTACCTATCTCTGTGCACAAAATCATGTTTGCTAGTACAGAGGAGAATCTCTGTGGTCACTTGGTTTAAAGCAAGTGTAGTGCAATGTGGATTGCATGTTGTGAAAAATCTGCCCGCTAATTCAGAATCTAAAAGTATGAGATTGTTGCTAAAAGAATGGGATTTGGTTTTGATATAGAATGAGAAATACAGCTTTTATTGGTTTATATTTTTGGTTTCAGTTGTTAGAAATAGTTTCTAGAAGATACTAGCTTGTATCAAGGTCATAAGGGACTAAACTTTGAGATTGATCCTGCTTTGAATGGAGAGTTGGACCAGATAGTGTCCAGAATTCCTTTTCAACCTAAATGATGCTATGATTCTGTAGTAATGGCTGGCAAAAAGTTAATACTAAGGCTCACCTATCTTACGCACAAGGAGCAAGCTTGCCATAGGAGAAGTCGGCATGACAGCCTCTCAAAAAGGGGTTGTTATTGAACACTAATAACTGGTTTTGAGCAGTTATTGGGGGATCCCAATTTAAATGCAATGTCAGCCATTGTTGATAAGACAATGAAAATTGGTCATGGATGTAAAACCTCTCAACTTTGAGTCATACTAATGTAACCTACAACACCTGAAAGCTGTTCACGTTATATGCAAGAGCATGCTGCGTTTCAATGTCTTCATAATTAGTACTTCTAGCAGAGATGGAGACTTCCTGCGTATTGTAAAGGGGGCCTGACCGTTAGTTTTTACCTTTTCTGCAGGCGAATTAATGTAGGAGCTCGCTTTCAAGCAGAAATACCATCACTCCAAGACAGATCTCTGGCAGCAGTTGATGAACATAAAGCAGAGCTGGTGTGGCAGCCATGGGGCGACCTGGAAACCAACAAAGTCACCCAAGAGAATGGTAAGAATGTGGAAACAGGACTGAATTGTCACAGCTGTTGTAGGGGTAACCACATATCTACTGTAGGCATAATATAAAAACTCTCAGAGCTGCCAGTCAAGTGACATGTTTGAGTGGTCTTGAAAACAGTCTTAGGAGTAAAGCTTGTTTATCAGGTTGTGTGTGGCAGGGGAGAACTTGATAGGATTGTTTTTTTAATTGAGATAAAATGAGACCATTTGTTACTGGTCAGGCAAAAAGCAGCCTTTTGCTCAGTGAAGCTTCCTTGTCTTTGTTAACATTTGAACGCCATGTGCACTTAACTTCTGCATTTTCAAGGGATGTTCTAGACACAATGGTGTTTTGAAAAAAACAAGTTGCAGACAGAAGTCAGGATGAGGAAGCCAGAGTTGTGGCAGCTAGTAGCAGACTTGTGCACCATCAGCAGACAGCTCCCCATGGCTTGTGGCATATATAAATCCTGAAGGGAAGAGGAAGTGTGGAGGCTTGGAAGAAATCTTTCTGATGAAAGAGAAAAAAGGGTATTGTGAAATGGAAATTCATCGTGTGTGTGTTTGTGTGTGTATTCAGGAAACCTCTGAGGTGAAGGGAGATGGGAAGACATTATAGGAGGGAGGAGATAAGAAACTCTTAAGTAGTGCTGCATGCGGAGTAATGCTGCATGACCTAATGAGTTCTTGTGTCCAAATTTAACCCAGATAAATTTTCAAGGACATTCAACATCTCTGAGAGTTTTACTTTGTTATGTCTAGCCCTGCTTCAGAAGAGGGCTAGACATAATTAATGATACAAATCCTATAGGAAACTTGATTTTAATCTTCTTATCTGAATTTGTTTGGTACCTCTGTGGAAATAGTGGAAAATCTTCTAGCTGCTGCCTGTTCAAGCATTTTTCCTGGGGGCGGAACCAACCAGGAGCTGGCGCTGCATTTCTTACATGAAGCAAAGGGAAGCATTCTGGTGAGTCTTCTGAGCTTTTCATCTTGATGTGGTCAAAGATGTTAATGAAGGCTAGGTAACCTGTGATTCCTGAGAGGAGAGTCTTGCAAACTCCTTGTGCATCTGGCTCCCACCATTCAGTGTCCCTTGGGTGTCCCTAAATTGGGTTCTGCCTGACACAAAGTGCCTTGTTCACTTACTGTCTTGCATATTTCCAAATTCGATGTGTTTGGCTTTTTAGCAGAATAGACAGTCTAACAGGGTGAATGGGCTGAGACTGCTAAATGAATCTTACTGGGAAGATGACCATGTTGGAAGGAAAAAAAAGGGGCTAGGGCTGAAGCTGAGACATCAAGTGCAGTGTCTTGCTCCACTTACTTTTGGCAGATCCATTTAACTTCTCTGTGTCTGTCTGTAGAATAGCTGTGCCACTAACTTTCTGTCAGTATTGTGAGACGTGATACACTTTCATAAATGCCCTTTGACACCCCTGGGAGGTAATATCAAAGAGCAGTGTGTAGCATATACAGCACAGAGTTGTCATCCTTTTATAGTTCTGTGATCGATTTAACCTGGCATAACGCAGCCCTGTGGTCAGGAGTATTCCACATTTTTGCCTGGCTGCTTGTTTCCCGTCCCCTGTAGTGCGCTAGCACTGACACTGTATTGACCTGCATTGGAGAAGAGAACAAATAAAAGGTAATTTTTGTGTGTATGTGTTAGGTTTCTGCTAGGTAAGCAGAACCAGCCCACCATTGTGAAGCTGTTGCTGGTATTAGGGAGCAGCAGGGCTGCTCCTGGCAGTAAGAGCTCACTGGTGGTTTAAACTGCTAATGGAATCATGGCTCCATTCTCTCCTTCCTGCTAATTTTGAAAGCACTTCCAGTTTAAATTCAAAGTAAAAAGCAGCTTGGAAGGGATTTTTTGTGTGGAATCTTTCAATCACATGACTGATCTGTTTTGTTTTGAAATATTGCTTAGTTAACTGAGATATCTAAGATCACAATGACTCAAATGTTTAAGACAGTCATAGTTTTGGGCAACATTTGTGGATGCGAGTACGTAACTTAGGCCTTTAGAAAATGAGAGGAAACTGCTGCGTTCTCTCTGTGTGTGGAATTAACCCTCTTCCAATGCCGCAGTGCAGTGCTTGTGTTGGAAAGTGTCAATTTGCAGAGACGTGAAGAGGTGCTGAGAGCTTACCACTTGCCTGTGGTACCTAAGACTCAGCAGATAGTCAGGAATGTGATTTTTAAAGTTGTCCCAAATGTTAAACTGTGCTATGATTCTTTTCATTTAGCTTGCCAGAAAGGAGAAGGGTTCACAATTGCCTGCTCTTTGTTTCAAATACCCCCAAATTAAATTACTTTTATTTGTGCTTATCTTAGGGAGCTTTGACCAACCTGCTATTGAAGAGGCCAGAACGATCGCCTACCCACCCTTTGGCAGATTATCACTACACAGGTTTGTTAACCAGAATAACTCCATGCTGCCTGTCTATTATAAAGGAATTTTTTTTTATCCTTTTCTACTCTTTTGGGGAATTCTAACATTACAATAGGATTAAAAGACCGCTCTTTTCTGTGGTAAATGAAATGATGGCTTGCCAGGAATTTTGCCAGTGCAATTTACGATGCTCATAATGTGAGAAACACTGCACGTCTCGGAACATGTGCATGTGTGTATTTGCGTGTGTGTGTGTGTGTGTGCATTCGATTTCCTTTATGGGGAAAAGAGCATTACATACATCCCTTACACTAAACCACAGAGAATGCAAGAAGATAGCTAGTACGTACAAGAAAGGCTGTGGTAACCTCAGAACCACAGCTTCTCTGCTGTGAATTTCCAGGGTGGAGTTAAGAGGGGGTTTTATGGGAAGAGTTTTCAAGCTTGCTGAAGAAAGCTCAGCCAGCTGTTGATGTCTGTCAGAGTTTCTGCAAAATTCAAATGCTGTAAACTGCCTTTGTAGTCTTGTACCTAATTAAAAAAAGTCAGCCATGTGACACTAGCTTCAGTGATCTAGAGTAACCCTGGCCACCTGAAAGGCCTGATGTATGGTGGTGGAGAGACATATAATAGCTGGCACCACAAAGCATGGACATTACATTTCTGCATTATTATATACTCCTGCTATAATGGTTGGGAAGTATTACTTGAGTAATATCTATAAGGCAGGAGGAGATTCCAGAATGTGTTTATTATTAGAGGCAAGGGTGCTAGGATAGTCGGAATATTTGAGATGTAATAAATCTTGAAGTATAGTGGGTTGCTGCTGAAAGAGAAGACCCTGTTCTCCTGCTCCACCCTTATATAAAATCTAATGACTGGGCCACCACAAAGTGTCTATTCACCTTGTTTTGCTGGAAAACATCCTAGTTCATCTAACTGACTGTTTTTTTTGCAAGCTGAGCTGAGTTCACCTGTGGTTATGAGTACTTGATTTAACACAAAGGAAGTGATGAGAGGAGGGCTGAAGTGGAGAGGAGTTAACAGCAGTCTGCAGTTATGCTGGTTTAGGTGTGATGAGAGACTACACCCTTGCATGTGTGTATTGGTCTTATTTAAGGCGAACATGAAGAAAAAGTACACAGTAGAGTAAACTGAAATTGCAAAGGTTTCCATTACAACTTGTTTTTCTACAGGATCAGACAAGTGGAAAGTTGCTGAAAAAAAACTTTTCAACAAAGGCATTGCAATCTACAAGAAAGACTTTTTCTTGGTCCAAAAGCTTGTAAGTTCCTTTTTTTTTTTTTTTTAATGACAGCAATGATACTTTCTTACATGTTAGTTGAGCATTTAATACAGGGAGTTCAATCTTGATTTTTCTGAAACTTCAGTATTAAGCATTATATAAGTCCTACGCTCAGAACATTTTAGAGGAATTTTGTGATCAAACTCAGCATAAAATCTCACTACAAAGCTAGAACAATAGTGTTTATTTTACTGTTGTTGTTTACTTAACTCCTGTACTTACTGCATTACTTCCATTAGTCCACACTGTAGGTATCACTTCTACAGGGCGTATTTATAGAGTGCTGGTAATGTTCCAGTACGGCTTAAATGGCTTGCTTATAAAACTAAATAGAAACACATCCTTGCTACTGATGAAAAGGACCAAAGAAGGATATGTGGATGAATGATGCCTCCTTTAGGATCTCTCTTTCTGCTTTTCTGTGACAATGGTAGTAAAAATGATCACTCCCATCTATTTTCATGAGGTGTGACACTTCAGTGGGGGGAAAATCACTGAGGGAGAGTGCAAAACCAGGAGTTGCATACATATTTACTGAATAAATTCCCCAAAGGAATTTAAGTTGCAAAAGCCCGGAAGCTAAGAATGTATTCCAAAAACTTCCAGAAAAACCACTGATCGAGGATATGTAGGCAGTCACAGGTCTGTACTGATAATCGTCTACCACCGCGTGTGTATGAAATGCATGTGGCCAAAATGGGAAAGGGCTGCAAACCTTCCTTTCCATTTTTGGATCGGTATTCTGGTCTGGTCTTCTCTGAAGTGCTGCTGGAAAATACAGCTCCCCCATAAAACTGAAGGGTTGCTCTCAAGCCTGACAGCTCAGTTGGAACATTTTGGAGGCTAAGATGTGCCTTAAGCTTACGAAGTGCCAGGTTCTGTCACCTTTACATTGACCAGTTTTTCCTTGGAAAGTTGGTGCTGTGGTTGTCAGTGAATAACAGTGGCAATAGGGGATGGGATGGGGCATGCACATGGATATGACACAGAAAAGGCAGCTTTAACAGCAGTTGTGCTGGAATGGAGACCACTGAGGAAAGAAAAATACAAAGTATATTTATTTATTGCACCTTTAGTAATTATTTATAAGCCTTCTTAAAATCATGTAATCCATTGGACTTTTATGGCTTTTAAACACCAGATAAAAACCAAAACAGTGGCTCAGTGTGTGGAATTCTACTACACGTACAAGAAACAGGTGAAAATTGGTCGGAATGGGACCTTAATCTTTGGGGACATTGATGTTGCTAATGAGAAGTCTATGAAAGATGAAGCTGAAGTTGACATCAAGGTAATTACTTAAATTTCTCTCACCTCTTTTGGGCTGTGGTGTGGTCTGATTTTGTGTGTTGTCTCATTTGCTGGTAAAACCAAAAGCAGAAACAATCTGCTGAAGGAGTCCAGCCTCACAAACCTGTCCTGTGTCACATAGTGATATTTACTTACAGACACCAAAATTAACAGTTCCTTTATCTTCTGGTGAAGAGTTCCCATAGGTTTGCACGTGTTCTTCCTCCCAGAAGGGACATTTACAGTGAAGAACAGGAGCATGAGGAGGAGGAGGAAGAGGATGAAGAAGAGGAGGCAGAGGAAGGGCTGGATAACAGAAAGAAGAGCACAGTTCCTATCAAAGATGAACAGACACTACAAGATGGTGTAATAGTAAGTGCTGCATTGTGCATGTTGTGCTCTCTATGCCACCTTCACTCTGCAACTCTTCTAACTCTGTTAGAAAACACCAGGTGGGCAGTTCCAGATATAAAAAGTTTCCACCTCTGAGTTCAGCCAGAGAAGAGACTGGGCTGAGGTAGCTGAGAGTATTACTAGCAACCAGACTGTGTGCTGTGGTGGGAGAACTGGGGTGAGCAAGGGGAAAAAAACCCAGTATCACTCTTTGTGGTTGGTGCACACATAGGACCATGATGAGAAATGTCCTGAAAATATCCTGAAGACTTCTTGATCTGGAATAAAAGAAGCACAGGAGCTCAGCCATTGTTTTCCTTCTGATGGTGAGTTTAAGTTTCTGTTTGCCTTAACTGTTCCTGTCTCTCCAAAGGCCGATGATGCCGATATGAGGAGTCAAGAGGCGACTGTCACAGGCAGAATTGGAAGGAAGCCAAGGGAGACAACAGTGAAGCCTCGAAAGCCTATAACTTCTCCAGTGCAGAGGAGGCGGCGGAAACAGAAGATAAAATCAGATGCTACCAGTAAAACTCAGAACACAGAAAACACATTTCCATGTAAAAAATGTGGCAGGTAAGAGCAACTCCGCTTCCAGCAATAATCACAGAATTGCAGTAGGGCATCTCCTATGGAAGCTTGCTCTCAAGTGAGCTTTCCTTCTGTCTATTTTGGACAGAGACTCTGGCAATAATTTTAACTTATTATCCCACTAATACTCGTGGATTAGGGATTTTTACATATATTGATGTTAAGATACTACTGCTACTTGGATAATTACCTGCTGCTGACTGCTATTCCTGAAATGGAATGAGACACCGCTTGCATTTCAACTGTGTGCAGTATTTGGTGTTAAGCTGCGCTTTCAAACAGCTGCTGTACTGCCCCTCTGTAATGCCTACATTATGTATTTGCTAGATCACATATTGAGAACATGGTGTAGATTTACTTATGAATGGTGGTATAGAAGCACGAGACACTACCATTGTTACAGCAGCAGATGTTAGGCCAGTGGGTGCACAGTTCATCTTAAGTTAAACTTGCACCCGTCTTTTGTGCCTATAAAATATATTTGTCTTTCCTCACTAGCTTTTGTAGGTTTGTTACCAACAGATTCATAAATGTCAAGAAAATTCAGTTCCCTACATAAACAGCTTACTCTTAAAATAATAGAGGGTCTTGTAATACCAGTGGTTATCCATTTATTTTTAAAAGGCACCAAGCTAGGGGGATGGTAAGAAAACGCAATCTCTGCCTAGTTACATCACCAGGGGCAAGTCAGGAGGAAAATGGTCCAAGTGTTTCCAGCTGTGTGGGCAAGGCTCAGGAGCAGCATTTGGCCACTGTTCACCTCCTTGTTTATTGTATTTTTGCAGCACAGGCAGAATGCCTAAAAACCAGGGCCCTGTTGTGTTAAGCAGCGTGTGCGTATTTCAGACACCAGCTCAGCCGCCCTGAATTTATAAAATTTAGGAGCTGAGTGAGAGAGAACAGGAAATTACCATGTTAAGAAACAGAGTGAGTGGTTTGAGGGTGCTCAGGATCTCCTGCCAGCATTCCACCTAGTGCTGGCACATGCCGAGTCAGAAGTGGTGTTTGCGGTAGATGCTCTATTGCAATGCCAGCGTGAGTTCCTGGGCTGAAGCTCACAAACTTGGGGCTGGAGCAGCAGGAGCTTATTTGGAGACTTAATGAAGGAGGCTGTAGGAGAGACCAGTGCTAACATACATGTGTGTTTCCTCAGGGTGTTCTACAAGGTGAAGAGCCGCAGCGCTCACATGAAGAGCCACGCGGAGCAGGAAAAGAAGGCAGCTGCACTGAAGCAGCAAGAGAGAGAGGCAGCAGCAGCAGTGGCGGCGGCGGCGGCAGCGGCAGCCCACAGCCAGGCCCGGCAGGAAGAGAGCAGCGAGAGTGGGAGCAGCAGCAGTGGAAGCAGCAGTGCGAGCTCGGATGAAGATGGAGAAATATAGCAGCAGACCAGAAGTGGAGGGAGTAGCATGGCTGGACCCACCTCCCTCTTGGTGGTCTCACTTTTTTTGCTTGCACTTTTCTTACCTGAATCATCAGGTCTCAGTTTCAGTGCTGCCATTTCCTCGTGCCACATGTTCCACTTCACCTCACCAGTACTGACCAAGCTGGAATGGTGGATGAAAAAATTTGTTTCAACTTGGATTTCTTTTTTTTTTTTTTTTTTTTTTAAACAAATAAGATTTCTATTCTATTTATAATGATGCCTGAGGTACATAGTAGAACAATGTCACCTGCAGTGGAATTAAGTTCTCTCTCAGGTCAGTCAGACCTTTTCTTTTTGTGCTTGTCTGGAACTGTAACAGGACTCCTGGATATAAAGGTTTCCAGACCGGAGCAAGAAAAAGATGCTCTGCTCTGAGCTAAGTGTATCCAGTTACTGTGACACTGGTGATTTCTAGATGTTTCCTTTCTCGGCAAGTTCTCCTTCCTGTTACACTTTCCTGGCTTTCTTTCTGAGCATTTATTCAGGCAGCCAACAAGTTTTGTGGAAAGACGGTGCACACTTTTGGCCTCTGCTTCACAAAAATGAAAAGCAGGATGAGAAAGATGCTCTTCTTCCTTTTGAGAGGAAGTTTTATTTTTCAAAAGGAAGCCTGAGGTTGTTTCTTTTATGACATTAAGAATGCAGCAGTGGATATAAAAATATCCTGTGGGATTAGAGTAGCCACAGTCCCCGTGGGTTGTCTCATCTTGGAAAACAAAATAGTCTGCCTTTGATTAACTTAATGGAAAGTAGTCTGGGCTTCACAAGTGCAATTTGAAATGAAAACTGCTGGTTTTGACTGCATAAATGGGAGCAAGTTTGTTTAGTGAAAATGAACCACGGCCACCTTGTGCCCTGGATTTTGTGCACCTCAGAGATGGGAGGAATGGACTCTCATCTCCAGCAGTGATCCCTCTGTGAATGAATGGCTTTTACCTCTCAACACATCCATTTCTTCTTTTGTGGCAGTCCTCATTTATTCCTTGAAATTGCCATCATCAAGAGCTTGGATGATGGGGCCCTAGTTTCCCAAATACTTCCTGTCAGACAGTATGTACATGTGGGAGAAGCTTGACACTGATTTCCACACCAGTGGCTGGACAGCACTGCCTGCTGGGTTGTCCTGCTGTGAGCCTTGCTCTTTGCCAAAAGGCTGACTTTTCCTTCAGAACTGACACACGCTAATAGCCCAAAAAGTCTAGTCACCAAAAACCTGCTGACGAAAGAGAGTTAAGAAGTAGTAGATTGGTCCAGGTGACATAGATTTGCCCAGGATTGTTCTGTACATCTTTATAACCCACATTTATCATTATTTTGTAAAGATGCAAAGAATGGATGGCTTCCTTGTGCTTCACAGCTGGTCAGTCGGGGCCGTACCCCGGGGCTCCCTGGCGCCGGCACTGTCACACCACCTGCGTGCTGCTCGGCTGGCGCAGTTCCGGAGGAGCCGCTCGCTCCTGCCTTCCCAAGCAGGCATCCTACCGGGTTGCTGTACATGAACTACAGAATGTTCCTGACTGGTTGATTGTTTTTAAATCTTGACCCTTCAAGCTGCTATATAAATTCCAGGTTAACTATGGAAAGTGGCGCTAACTCCAGCATGCCATTTGGCAATCTTTTCCTGCCCCATGGTTTTATGCAACCATGATTGTTTCACTCTCTTAAGTCTGAGAGACTATGTGTTGTATCATGTTTGTTTTGTCATATATATGCCTTTGGATAGAGTCCTTTTTTCTTAATAAAAGAAACAGTTACTACTCTTACAAAATAAGTAGGAGTATCATTAAGGACTGCACTTTTTTCAGTGTTGACACTTTTGCCTTTAAGTGTTCGATTTTCTGCCAAGGTTGTGTTTTTCATTCCTAACAAAATTAGTTTTCCTTGCAGCATTTGGATGAGTGTTCTATGTCCCTACATGCACAGGTCTTGTTGACTAACTAGGCTGTGGAAGCAGATGGCATGTCACAAATTGTTAAAATCGTTCAAAAACTGCAAAGAACTAAAAGCTACTAATCTTTAAAAAGAAGCTTAAGCAAATTAGTCTTCCTGTTAAGACTTTCAGAGTTAATTGTTATCTTTTTCCTTTTGTAAATTGGAGAAAATGCTTGTCTACCATTATCCTAGGGCCCTTAGAGAGAACAGAAGCTTTAGCACACAGGACAGACAGTAGGTGAAGCAGCTGGACCTCATGGTCCACTTGTATTGTACTGGCATTAATTCCAGTAAAAAGCAATGATGTAATTAAAGTTCTGAAGTATCTCTCTGGGAAGTGGCCAATAGTTACCAGACCTTGAGAACTGCAGGGCAACAGTTCAGAAATGAGCAGGGCTTGTGCATATATCTAAAAAGGATTTAAAGTAATGTAGATACATTCATTACAACAGTATAACAGTATTTGCCTGGAATACCAGTGTCGCAGCAGCAGAACAGTGTACAGTTGCTTGACAGAGACTGGCAAGGCCTAGAAACACATAACGAAGAAATGGAGGTGGAATTGGCACACATTGAGAAACATGGCAAAAACAGATTTTTTTTTTTTAATTTTTTTTTTTTTTTTTAGATTGGAGAGGGGGATTTTATTAAACTTGAGAACTAAAATAAGGTTAATCAAACTGTCTTAGGAAAATGCTTTTATGGTCCTTGCAAAATCAATCATTATGTAATCCCTCAGGACAAAATGGAGACTGGTCATATTGGGACAAAGCAAAGCTCTGTCTCGCTCCAGCCCTTGTTTCTTGACAGCGATCAGGAGCAGGTGGCTAGGAACAAGTGAGGGACAGTATGGACTAGCAGGTATAGTGCCAGCTAGAAAATAAGGATGCTAAACTAGAAGAATTTATGTGTGTTCTCCAGTAAGGCAGATCTGCAGAGAGGTTTGTGCTGAAGTGTTCAGAAAATCAGGATGTTTCTCTGCCTTTTACTCTTCTGCTCTGTGTATCACCTGCAATTACTCTGGTATTTTTAGTGTCTGGAAGTATGCCTGGGTGATAATGAGCAGACATTTAGTCATGGCCCTCAGGAGTTTTCAAGCTTGAAGTTAGATATGGCATAGAAAATTATGGTGACAAACAACTGATCAGATGAAATGAAGTACAAAGATTTAGGGGATTGCTTTAAGTACCAATTTAATCATCTTTCAGATACGATGATGCTTGAGTGCAAGCATTATTACAGTCTTCCAAAGACCACATCTTTCACTGATTCTCCTTATTTTAGGAAATTGATATAAAAGTAATTTTTCCTCTCATCCAAGGATACACCATTGAGGTGGTGATAAGAACAAATTAAGAGTTTTTCTTTAATTGCACAAAAATGGTGTGTATGCTACACACTGAATTCAGTACTGGTTGTTTCTCTCTCACCCTGCTGCAGTAGAAGAGAACAGGAAGATTTGATAGCAGTGAGGTCTGTCACTGGAAGAAAATCAGAAAAGGGCTTTTTCTGAGGATAACCTCTAACAGCTGTGAGTTAGCACGGCTGACCAAAATCAGGTAAATGTTCCAAGTAAGTGGCATCAAATGGAAATGTTTCTGAGCATGTTTACATATTGCTAGTAGCTACCAGAAGACCCCTCTCCTGTCATGGTAATCAGTGAAAATGTTCCTCTGAGTGTCTTGTTCAAAAACAAACAAGCAAAACCAAACCTGCTGCCCACTTGCTTACAGTAGGAGTTTGGAATTGATCCTACATCTAAATTAGATCCTGCCTACTAGCAAGAGCTGGCAGAGAATTGTTTTAAAAAAAACAACCAACCCCCAGTTGCTGTGGACAAAGCATTTGAACTGAATTTACTGCAGCACAGTGTTAACTGAAGGCTGTGTTGTTCCAGTTATGATTTTTAAAAAAAAATAAAAATTCTCGCCTGTGTTCTGTTGATTTGTCTGTTAATACCCCGTGCTCATTGTCATTGTTTAAAGGCCTGTTTACTGATCCCCATTTAGTATCAGGGTTTGCTGTTAATTTAGGAAAAAGGCAGTTATGTTCAGTCGTTGAGTTTGAACAAGGCATCTCTTTGCTTTAGCTGTCTTTACTATGGGAACAAATACAAGAGTATAGACTGCAATTCTGTAAATGTGTACTAATAGATTTGCTTTTTACAGTGCGAGATCAGGCTTCCAGTGGTCAGATACGCAGTAGTCTGTCAGGTGACTGTGTTTCAAAGCCATTAACTGTTTGAGCCTTGATGCCAGCGGCGGGCGTTGTGGAGATGCAGTGACAGATCGCGTTTTGCCCTGATCACGTACTTCTGCCTGTGTTGCCTGCCCTTTACAGATAGATTCAGTCTTTCAGGTTTGTGATCTGCATGGGATAGCATCTCAGTTTTGTAAGACACTGTGTGTATATAATTACTAGATATATGCATGCACTTGTGATGCATATCTGATATAGCTACAGGTGTTCCTGCAGTCTAGCTGCAAGAACAACTCTGCATTTTTAATTTCTTTTATGTTTTTCCATTTACTGATACAGGTAACTGTATCTGAGAGAACTCTATTCTGTAAGTTGAAAGCCTACTGAATTTCAATTGGCTATGCAGGACCTTGGCGTGTTGTTAGCTAGGACCAGGTAGGAATATAGCTGTTTAAAGGCAGGGCAAAGAGAAATTCTAAAGCTTAAAGGTAACTCATCTATTAATCCCATACTAAACAAGTAAAGTCCAAATTAGCTAAAAAGACCCTCTGATTTACCAAACTGAGGCTTTTGGTCATTTTTATCATTGCAACAAGCTTAGATTAATATCAACATTCAAAAAAAAGTGGTTCCTAAACCACAAAGAGTGAGCTTTCTCACTCTCAGCAGTTACACACTCTTAATTCTCTTTCAGGCAGCGGACTAGAAAGTTCCTATATATACATATCCTATTTTACGAGAAATGGGAGTAGGGAGGACTATAGCCATAGAAGTCTTGTCTGCTTTCATACGACGGCACTTTTAGTCCCATGATTACCTCTGCCAGAAACCTCATTCTAAACCACATTTTCCCACAAAGACTTTCTCCCTGTTTTATCTTCTGATGTATGCCGGAAAGTTTATAAAGCTTTAAAGAGACAGAGAAGCAGTGTCTACAAATCATGTTTGATTTTTGTGGGGGTGAGTTTCTGTGTAAATTCGTCACTGGGGTTCAGCTGCTTTGCTCTCCCTCATTCTCTCCTGTGTCAGATGTTGGGAAGACACAAACTTTGAATCCCCAGCTGTCTAAGGATTTTTCTTTCCAAGACTAGGATTCCACTGACAGCTGAGCCTGAAAACAAACCCTTAAGTTCTCCAGATTAGAAGACAACATATATTTTTATAGAAATGTTAATTGTATATTTTAAAAAAGTTTCATGCAGCTTCACATGTATTTTTCCCCTTGTAGTTCAGATTTGATATACACTTTTTTGTGTTCATTCTTTTTATGTTCTGTTTTTAAATTTGTAGTCAAAGCTTTGGTGTACTGTACAGGAGCAGTCAGCCTTTGTAATTACTGTATAAATGCTTTATAATAAAGTATATTACTTTTATTTTAACAAGTGAGCAGACACTTCCTTTTGTGTGTTTGCTGCCTAGGGCACCTTTTAAAAGACTGTTACATGTTTAAAATGTGTATATATATAAATATATTTACCTGTTGCTGTACAGTTGTGATAGACTGGACTGAATTTATTTTTTGTGTGCTTTTTTTATAAAATATTAATACACTAAAGGAAATCTTGCTGATGTGATTGTAATGTACTATGTAACTTATTTACTTAATATCCTCTATATATCTAAAAAACCTTTTATTAAACGAGGTTTAAAAAATAGTTCCATAGCTGAGTTTTTTGATGGTATGAGGGAGTGGCTGGGAGGTTTGGGGCAATAGTGACTGTGATGCATTCATGCAAAGGAAACGTTTTTTTAACTAGTCTGCTCTCTCATCCATACCCACCTCTCTGTTTTCCATAGCAGTCCCCGAGGCTGTTTCTCAATGGAAACTTCTCCCTGAAGACGCCAGCCCGCAGTGTGTTTTATGTCTTATATCCAAGAAAATAACTGGCAGATGCCGCTCCGGGTGCTGTACAGGAGTGTTGATGGTGTGTCTCACTCCCATGCTGGGCACCTTCCCAGCAGGCCAGCAACAACCTTCATCGTGTGTTAAATTCACGGGGAATAGTTCTAGGTCCCCTGTGGAGTAACTTGGTACCTGAGGGGCCTGTACTGGATCTGAATTCCTGGATGGCTGTGCCTGGGACAAAGTAGAGACTGAAGTAAATCTAGAGCTGCTGGAAATAGAGTTAACATCTTCCTGCTGTTCAGGAGTTGAATTTGCTGATTGTAGAAACAATGACTCCAGTTGTAAGTCTCATTGCATCATCAGTTTTAATGGTAGAGTTTAAAAAACACTTTAGGAAATACTGTCTTAAAGGCACTTGTCTGTTACCTGAATCGAAGGGGGTTTGTAAACATATTTTGTTACACAGCACTATCTCATTTCCTCTGGCAGTAGCTGGATCTCTTGCTGGGGATTTTAAATACTAATTTGCTTCCATCCATCCTCAAAACAAAGGTTCCTTCTGTTTTGGTAATTAACTGGTTATAGTTAAGTAGGCTACGTAGGTGTTTCTCATACCTGTGGGCATGAAGTCTTCAAAAGCTGCAAACGTTTCACTACATAAGCAGATGGTAGAACTGTGTATCAGTGACTGACCTCCTGTGAGATTTCAGTTGGAATTGGAGGCAGCACACCTGTTTTCTTTCTAGTTGCTACTTTATGCTGACAAATTTTTGCATTTCAATATTCTTGCAAGGCTGGCAGGAGAAAGACTCAGCCCAAGACACTAAAACGCTCTTTTTTTTCAGCTCAGTGTAGAAGCCTTTGCTTTGATTTACTCCTGTGGATGTGGCTGTTGATCAGCAATAGTGTTTGGAGAAGTGAGTGGTATTTTGTTTGGTGGGCGAAAGAGATCGGGAACACCGAAGCCTTCACTTCAGATAGCAGACCAGGACTTTGTTTAAAGCTTTAAATAATGTATTTGCCTCCCTGTCAAAGCCAACTGGCAGAAGTGCTAAAGATTGACTACTTTGTACTAAAACCATGCAAACAAACTTTGGATGATCAGAAAAGTCACAAGTTTTGGGCATTTTGGATTTCATCTCTTTTTTTCAATTGGTGGATCCAAGCCCAAACTTCTGGAAGTTATTTCAGCTACCGAAGGAGATCTTACGAGCATTTTAGTGATTCGCAAGCTTTGAGTTAGTGGCACTGTGTGAGGAATTCTGCAGTAATTCCCCGTATGGTTTTTTTTTAAATAGCATTACAGCTGTCATTGCAGGATGCTGCTATTGTCATTATTGAAACCGACTGCTGTGGACTGGGTGGTAGAAAGCTTTTTTCTTTATATCTGAGAGTTGAAATTACATTTCAGTGACACTGTCTATTGATGGCTAAAGTTCTTATTACTGAAGTTTATGAATCAGTTAACCTTCTCTTGTCCAGGATTAATGGAATTGATAGTATATTGCTGTTAACAGAACTCAAAAGTGAATTAGTAATTTTGTACTGAAGAAAGACTACCCATTCATTTAACTTATTTGCATTTCTTTCCCCCCCAAAGCAGTGGTAGACTTTTTTCTGAAGACCCAAGAACAAAGTCTGACAACCAGTGTCTTAAAAGATTGAAAAATATTTATGTATCAGATGACAACAATTACAATATATCAGCATTTTTAAAGTCCCAAGTTATTTTCTATTCTAAAATATAGAGGCAATAAGGAACAGCATTTACATACTATAAATACATTGCTCCCTGAGCAGCTAGGAAAGTTTAATGAGAACAAAATTTAATTTCAGAACGCTCTTGACAAGCTGAACTATTTCATTACACAACAGCCAAAGACGTTTGTATAAAATAATGTTATATTATTTTTAAACAAGTTTCACAGAATAACATTTATAAACATAGGCCTAAATAATTTAAACAGAGCAAATTTAACAGCTGGGTCATACTACAAAATTACTGTATACAAAAGATAGCCAAAGGGGATGTTAAAAAGTGCCCTCTTGCTTGAAGATTTTTCTAGATGAGTCTACTTCTAGTGTAGCCTGAGTCATGTGCTGGTTCTCAGGTATCTTCTCACATTTTTCCAGCAGTTCTCAGCATATCAATACTCAATACTGCATACATCAGCTCTTTGAAGAGAGGTCAGTGTGCTAACAAGCAAGTAAAAAAACTTAGCTATTTCCTATCACTAATTTAATTTTAAGATATTTCTCTAAGGAATAAAGTGGATGCTAATCCTCCATAATTTCACTGGGAAAAGCTGAATTCCACATGGCTTGCAAGTTTTACATGGGTGCTCTTTTCATCCATGAATAATAATGTGCTTACTACTTTGTTGGATGTGGTGCGATAGGGAAGAGCAAAGAGCGATACAGAAAGATGAGCCTTTCAGCATTTTTCTCAGCCGCTCCCTGTGGGCGTGCAGGCCGAGCTTCACTGTCAGCTTATATGTGATGTGGTGTAGCACCACCGACATGCAAATCAGCTCCTTTAATTCTACCACCTGTGTATGTCTTCCACCACATCCAGTGCATCATTCTAAAGTGCAAATTTTAAAATTTAGGAAAACTTTACTTATTTTAGAGGAGAAAAGGTTCGAGGGGGTGTGATTTGTTCTTGAGAGTAAGGATTCAACAGGCAAAGCAACATTAAGTTGAACCTTCCACCTAGCTTTGAGCTTAAGCATCTCCTGACAAATGAAAGCCACAATTTATTCTTTCCTTACTGTATTGTTTCATTGAGATTGACATACAGTTTTTACCAGAAGGGTTTTAAAATATATGCTACTTTATTGCATCATGAATGTATTGTAAGTGTCCCTTACTGCCATTATAATTGTGTTGAGACTGGATGCTCCATTCTTTCAAGAATCATTTTTTTTTCCTTTCTCTTTTTTGTGGTAATTATAGTGCAGCCCCAAAAAAAGAGCTAGAGAATTTGTGCTGTTAAATCTGTGAAAAGAGCTGATGACAGTGGGCCAAACAGTAGGCACAGCTCTACCACCCACAGCAGTGGTTCTGGGACTGAGGCCCATAAGTGCAGCCTGTCAGGGTCATTGACAGCAGCCAGGAGCTGCTCTTAGCCCTCATGTCTTCTCGAGGGAGCTGTGTTTCGTTCCAATCATCAGAACACTAGGTTTATATACTGCTCTCAGAATGTCCCAAAATAGCCAAATTGTAGAGTATTTGTTGTATCTAACATGACCTTCAGAAATGTATAGACTTAGACCACAGAGGACTGGTGGATGATGTGGCGGTTGGAGGCTGACTAGGGCACAGTGATCATGAAATAAGAGTTCTCTATTCTTAGAGAGGCCAGGAGAGGGGGCAGCAGAACTGACATCCAAAGGGCTGACTATGAATTGTTTAGGCAACTGCTTGACAGAATCCCTTGGGAGATGGTCCTGAAGGGTATAGGGGCCCAGGAAGGCTGGGCACTCTTCAAGAAGGAAGTGTTAATGGCACAGGAGCAGGCTGTCCCCAGGGGCTGTAAGAGAAGCCTGCGACAGAGACCACCCTGGCTGAACAGGGAGCTTTGGCCACAACTCAGAGAGAAAAAGGAGAGTTTATGGCCTTTGGAAGAAGGGGCTAGCCACTCACAGTGATTACAAAGAGGCTGTGAGGACATGCAGGGCAGAAATCTGGAGCTCTAAAGCCCAGCTGGAAATTAATATGACTTCAGCAGTCAAGGATAACAAGGAATGTTTCTATAAATAGGTCAACAGCAAAAGCAAGACCAGGGAGAGCCTCCATCCCCTGCTAGACACAGCAGGAAACATGGCAACGAGTGATAAAGTAAAGGCTGAGGTGATTAATGCCGCCTTTGCCTCAGTCTTCAATAACAAGTCTACAACAACTAGTTGTACTGAGGGAATCCAGCCTCCTCAGCCAGAAGACAGAGATGGGCAGAATGACCTTTTAGACCAGGTATCAGGAAGCATTTCTTTACAGAAGGGGTTGTTGGGCGTTGGAATGGGCTGCTCAGGGTAGTAGTGGAGTCCCCATCCCTGGAGGGGTTTTAAGAGTAGGGTTGGCACAGCGCTGAGGGAATCTGGTGTAGTTGGGAACTGTCAGTGCTAGGTTAACGCTTGGACTAGATGATTTTCAAGGTCTTTTCCAACTTTGATGATTCTGTCATTCTGGCTAATTCCAGAGAGGCGCAGCTCACTGCAACACGCTGGGGCCTAGCCCAGGCTTACCAAGTGCTATTAAACACTGTTCAGCACCCTCAGGAGAGAGAGGGCTCTGGAGCTGGTAAGAAAGTAACAGAAACTGCAGCCGCTACAAGCCCATCTTCTGACTTGGAGAATGTGCTTTTGTCTCTTCTTGTAAAAGCAATTTGAAAAGAAATCTATTATTTAAAACTGTATTATGTATTTTAGCAAGGTGAGAATAAAAGAAACACACCATGCAGATGATGCCACATGGAGTAAATGGGTCACATTAATCACACAACAGGCTCGAATAGAGAGCCCCAGCCCTCCAGGAATACTGGAAGTGATTACAAATTGGCCAGAAAGCAAAGATTTTTGGAATGGCGCCAGAGGAAGAGGTAGCACGTGCTGAGAAAGCCCCACCATATAATTACTGGATAATGAGAAGCGATGTGCCTTGTTTACCGACGGTTCCTGTCGCATTGTGGGAAAACATGGGAAGCAGCTGTATGGAGCCCCACACGACGGGTTGCTGAAGCCGCTGAAGGAGAAGGTGAGTCGAGTCAGTTTGCAGAGGTGAAAGCCGTCCAGTTGGCCTTGGCTATCGCTGAGCGAGAAGAGTGGCCAGTGCTCTACCTCTGTACTGACTCGGATGGTGACAGATGCGCTGTGGGGGTGGTTACAGCAGTGGAAACGGAGCAACTGGCAGCGCAGAGGCAAACCCGTCTGGGCTGCTGAATTAGGGCAAGATACTGCTGCTCAGGTGGGGAATCTTGTTGTGAAAGTACGCCATGTAGACACTCATGTACCCAAGAGCTGGGCCACTGAAGAACAGCAGAACAACCAACAGGCAGATCAGGCTGCCACAATCAAGGTGGATCTGGACTGGCAACATAGGGGTGAACAACTTCTGTCTCGCTGGGCCCATGACTCCTCAGGCCATCAGGGAAGAGATGTGACATATAGATGGGCTTGTGACCGAGGAGTGGACTTAACCATGGATGCTACTGCACAGGTAATCCATGAATGTGAGACATGTGCTATGCTCAAGCAAGCCAAACAGTTAAAGCCTGTGTGGTATGGAGGATGATGGTCAGAATATAAATATGGGGAAGCCTGGCGGATTGATTATGTCATGCTCCCATGAACTTGGCATGGCAAACACATACGTGCTTACAAGGGTGGAAGCAGCCACTGGTTGGTTGGAAACTTAAGCCGTGCTCCATGCCACTGCCTGGAACAGCATTTTAGGCCTTGTGGAGAAAGTCTTAAGGTAGCATGGCACTCCAGAAGGAATTGAGTCAGATCATGGGACACATTTCCAAAACAACCTCATAGATGCTTAGGCCAAGGAACATGGTATTGAGTGGATATATCATATTCCCTACCATGCACCAGCCTCTGGGAAAATTGAGCAATACAATGGGTTGCTAAAAACTACACCAAGAGCAATGGGTGGTGGAACTTTCAAACACTGGGATGTGAATTTAGCAAAAGCCACCTGGTTAGTCAAAATCAGAGGACCTGCCAAGCAAGCTGGTCCTGCTCAGTCAAACCTCCTACATACTGTAGATGGGGATAAAGCCCCTGTAGCACACATTAAAAATATGCTGGGGAAGACCCTCTGGGTTATTCCTGCATCGGGTAAAGGTAAACCCATTGCCTAAGGACATGGGTGCACTTGGTGGGCAATGCAGGAGGATGGAGAATTCCAATACATGCCTCAAGCAGATTTGATTTTGGGTTAAAACTACCAATGAACCGGACTGTCAAATAACCATTATTGCAATTGGTGCCTCGCAACATCCTCCTGCCCCATCCAAAGCCTCCTGCTCCACTGACTGAGCCAACTCTACCTCATTCCTCCAGTCTTAAAGACCGCCACGACAGATGGAACCCAAAGTTACAGACTAAATGAACTCAGTAGACGTTTTGTAAGGGTGGCCCATAGACTGAGGGAATGATATCTGTAGACCCAGGAAAGGGGTGGTGATTCCTTAGAATGTATTTGGAACCTGAGCATGATGTCAATAACAGGTAGAGACTGTCCTGGTTTCAGCCAGGATAGAGTTAACTTTCCTTGGACTGAGAGGGAGCACAGCTGAAGGGCTGGGTCCCGAACAGTCATTGGAGCATTCCATGTCACGTGACATCAAGCTCAGCATATAGGTGTGGGTTTTTTGTTTTCATTTTCCAGATCGGCAGGGTGGGATTCTCTGGTGCAGTCAGGTCGCTGCTGGGGACAGGCTCTATACCAGTCACCGCTCAGTGAGCCACTACTGCATTTTACCTGTTTTGGACTACTGTTGTTTTTTGTTAGTATTACTATATATATATATTTTTTTTATTATTCAATCTACAAATCTCTTCTTTTGTCCTTCCCCTATTTCACCGGCAGCTGGGGGAGAAGTAAACAACTGGCCATGTGGCAATTTGCTACTGGCTGAGTTCAAACCACAACACCATCTCATCTCATCTTCCCCACTAACTACATACACTTTCTCTCACTGCTTATATCTGTGCTTTCATACAGAAATGACTATCCCCCAAATCAAAATTTTTTGTCCTCAAGCCCAGGTCTTTTGTTCACTGTTTGTTTCTGCAGTAGTATCAGCCTACTTAGTTACAGGAACATTCCGGAGCTGAGAAGGATTATGCCACCAGTGACCCAAACCAAAACTAGGAACCAGCTGTAGGCTCATAGGCCACATAGTTCAACCCAAAATAATTTCTAGTAAGAGACAAAAAAAAAAAAGAAAAGCTAGCAGATACTTTAGCCTCACTGAAACCATGCAAAGAATTCCCATTGCCTCTTTAAAATAAATAAATATCTAAGTTACACATGGCCTTCTAAGCAATGCAGCTGAGTTCCAATGTGAGAAGCCCAATTCAAAACTTAAGACCAGTAGCAGGTGATCATCAGACCAATACCTTTTTTGTGCATAGGTCCACAACTACTGGACCTGTTTGGCATAACAGTTAAGGGGATGAAAGGGCAAACTTGCATATTTAAAATACTGAGGGACTCCCATGGTAAAATTAAACACAACGAAGCCTGTAATGTGTCTCTAAACCACAACACTGTTCTTTTGGCCTCAGTGTTTCCAATGATAATGTTGGCCAGCTGCACCAAACAAGCAAAAATGGTTCTGTTATAACCCAAGACTCAACAACAAGCACCACTAATCAGGGATTAAAAATAGCTATGTATTAGTTTAGGTAAAAATCTCTTGTTAGCCAAACAGCAGATAAACTCAACTCCACTGGTCACTGTAGAAGGTGTCATAAGCTTGACAAAATTGGTATGTCTGAATTTTGGTAATTAACTCTTTGGGTAAGAGACTGTAGAGATAAACTGGTCTTTTAAAAATTGCCCAAAGTTTTCTTCAAAACAAATATTTTATATAAAAGTTCTATGTGCTGACCTATCTGGAGTTACTTAAATAATTAAATACCCAACAAGAAAGTGTCATCAGTTTGCTCCTTCTTCATCTTCTTCTTGTTTAATAACTAGGATACCTAAGAGGAAAAAAGAAAGGAAAAAAAATCTGCAAAGATTTATTAATAGATTATGCAGAGAAAGAAATAGTTAATGCTGATATACCTGAAAGCTACCCTGGACTGTTGGAAAGAGTCAGACCAGCAGAAAGAGGGAAGAGTTCTATTTCCTGCCTCTGCTTCTGACATGAGCTTCTGCATACCTGAATGGCTCTTAACTAGAAAAGCCTTCAAACTGATGAGATCTTCTGTTGCATGTTTTTCCAACTACTCAAGTAACAGAGAATAAAAAAGGTACTAAAGCAGGACCTGCAAAGATCAGCCTAACTTGGTCACTGGGAGATGCATCATGTTGGTTCAACTGCCAACCACCAACTAACATGTCACCCTTCTTTTGCAGGTCTTTACCTGACCAAGTTAGTATGTGATACCTCCTCGCGGATACCTAACTAGAGTGTCTAGGCTACAAATTACAATGATATTAATGTGGATCCAAGAAGCAATATGGTCACATCTCTTAGGACTAACCTGGACACTGCACTGCACAGTAGTGTCATAGTCTATACCCACCCCTTGAGTATTTTTTTTTCTAAATCACTTTTTAATTGCCATGTCGAGCAAGGGCACCTCAGACTGTGGCAGCCTTCAGGGTTCACACCATCTCATAGTGATGTGTTTCTGAATTTAAAACAAGCTGAAATGCTAATAGCCCCCAAAAGATTTATCAGGTTATAAATTTTCCCCACAGTAGCAAAACCCTATAGTACAGGTAAGCCCACAGCACACTGAACTAGCACACTCAAATCCATGCTCAGACAAGTAGTACAAGAACAGCACGGTGTGCAGGTAGTTGTCCATTCACCTGTGCTGTCACATGGGTAGTGGGAACTGGGTCATACCAATGCTTTGCTCAGCTTGAGGCAGAGACTTGAACTATGGTGAGGCTTTGTGGTGAGGGCCCTTTGCTTACTGTAAGACTGGGGTGCTGTGTTTCTTTCTTCACAGGTAGGAAATGGAAAATAAAACTACCAGAGCCTGGTTTCTGTTGTGCTTGAGGCACCTAACTGCTGACCAATGTTTCTGGCACAGGAACTAACAGAAAGGCAACGCCCACCTGCAGAAAGAGACCTTCAGTGCTTATTTTTATCCAGAACATCTTCAACCATTGCAATAATTAGTCATCCAACATACAGTACATAAGCACAACAGGGTAAGTTTGAAGAGAGGAGGGAGGACTGTTGATTCAATGGGCACATAGATGAATTTCTGAGGTTATGATTCATTTCCCTGTTGTCTTTGTATTAAGCTGTTAACTCACACCAATTGCCTCACGCTCCAAACTCACCATCCAGCTTTTTCAGCGTGGGTACCCGTTTGGTTGCTTCTTCAATCCAATTGTTCTGATCAGAGGCGTATTTCTCTTGTAGTGGATTGCCTACAAACACCAGATCCTCTAGTAATGGCAGCTCTGCCAGTCTCACAAACTCTGCTGCAACCACAAAGGTGAAAACACCAACCAGATTGTGGAACGTGGAAAACACATCTGCACCACATGTTCCTTTCAAACTCAGTGCAAACATAAATAGCAGGGGATACAACAAGATAGGGATTTCCTGGGCTTGAACCAGTATCAGACTGAAGAACAAGTATGCATTTTAAAAGAAGTCTGAGAAAGATGATTCAAAGAACAAACTCCATAGGGCTTAGAAGTTAAATTTAATATTCTCACTATTTTCACTCTCTTGCCTAAGTGGCTATTTAGGGATTCTGCGCATGTCTGCAGGCTTATCAGTGAGACTTAAAGCCCTTGAATGTACAGAACTATTCTTCGCTTGGCAACTTAACTCATGCATTCACCATACTACAGAAGTTACAGAATAGAGAGGTGTGGCTTACCCCAGTCTTTCACCAAATTATTTGACATATAAAGAACCTTCAGCTTCTTCATTACACGGATACCCCTCAGTTTTTCAATGAAGTTGTAGGAGATCCACAGCTCCTCTAAAGTATCTGCAACTGCCTCCTGGAAAATGACAGGACTGCTCAGGTAAGCAGAAGTATATCCTCCTTATTTTTCAGATTCTCTCTTCACCCCCAGCAGGTCACCTCATGTGAGAAAATACTAAGAAATACTGGTCCTCATTTCCTATTAAGCCAGTCCCTAATTATGCATGATAAATACTCATGGGAACTAAGAGCAAAAGATCTGAGATATATTTAGGAGGACAGAAATCACAATATTAAAATAAGACAAGGAATAGCTGGCTGGAGTAGTTGTTCTTAAGGCATAGGGGCAGAGGAGACAAATTTGACTGCTTGTGCACTGCAGGGGTACATGAAGTGAATGCAATTCAACACCACTTTAGAAGGGGTTTTATACAATATGAAGGAATGAATAATTTCAAGTGCATGTATGTTTGTACCTGTTGGCCAGAAGTTGCTTCCATAATTCTCTCAAAAGAGAGGTTTTTCTAAACCAGCCATTACGCACTGACTCTGCATTTCACACTTAAGAGATAATGGCATCTATGAAGATGGGAATAGCTTTGAAGAGAAACATTCTGTGGGAGTAGCTCTTGAGGAAGAAAATAATTTCTATATTAATTAATAAAAAAGTTGATAGGAAAAAGTTTCTTTTGCCCTTAATTCAAATGTAACAAAATTGACCCAATTTTCCCCTACCTGGTAGACTTAGTCCTGCCACCATCCTCTCCCCTAAACCATATTGCTGTGGGCACCAGTTAACATAAATAGGACATTCTCATGAAGTGTGTTCGTAGGACTGCTAATATGTGCAGTAAAGAAGCAGAGTCTAAGTATCTTCAGATAGAAAACTCCTCATGCAAAAAGTCTGTAGGAATTATTTTCATCTAAAGGCAGTGGAATTTAAAGGGCTTTACAGACAGACAGCAGTTTTCAAGTAAAAGTTCTGCTCATCTTTGTCAAAGGCAATGACATATCTCTTTCTAAAATCCTTTTATGTAGTAAATTAGCCCTGAAGAATGTCTAAACATGAAGAGTGTTTAAACAAAAAAAAGAGAAAGACTATCTGAAAATTCAGAAGCAATGTATAAGAGGGTGAACAGAACATAGTGAAAGGAGAAAACAAATGGTTAGGGAATAACATAAATTCAGCAGACTTTTATGAACATAGGGGAATTATCCCACATTCTACACAGCACTCCATTTTGTTAGTGAAGAACTGATACTAGTAAGAAGCACATACCAATCCATTCAAGTTCTTTATGTTATTTCTTCCCAAAGACAGAATCCTCAGATTTTCTGTAATAGATAAAAGAAAGTTTTTTGTTAGTAATTTTGGTTTAAATATAGAAAGATGCTGTAAGTCAGGTAAAACACCACATCTACTTAGAAACAAACTGCACTCTGAACAGACTGCCTTAAGAAAGAATGACATAACAGAAACAAAAACTCCTGACCTACACAGATCATCAGGAATGGATGCAGTGGACAGCTCAGAAACACGCTCATGACTATGAAGCTGCTCATGTGTAGGTTACCTCAGTCAGTCCAGATAAATACTGAATAAAACTCAGTCAGTCCAGATAAATACTGAATAAAAATTATTATTTCACTTCTTACCTGAACTCTAACTGCTAACTTGCTAGTTTTGATCTTACATATTTCATACCCCTTCTTCTCCAGGTAAAAGTTGTTCCAATCTTATTTTCAGGCAGCAGATTTGATTTCTATAACAGCGGCAGCATATAAAGCTGCCTTACAGAACTCTGATGAGAGACATTTCAACTTAGTCTAACACCCAGACAAAACTCCTTTCTAAGTGAGCTGTTCTTGTTGGGGTTTAATGTAATAGTAGTGAAGCTCAAAGCTAACACAAAATAGCAGTCTTTTTGTATAACTCATTTTCATTTTTCACACAAGCTTTCTTGCAGGTGTAAATAAGCAGACTAAGTTGCAGCATGTTGCTGGGTTAACTTTGGATCTTTACCTTTCATGAATGTTTTAACACTTCTAACTGCCTTAAGGATGAAATACTTAATGATCTTGTTTTGCTCTTGTAAGCATAATAATTGAAAATACATGGCACAATAATGGCAAGACCAATGAAAGTCCCAGCCAAACAGCACCAGATACTCCATAGATAGCTCAGATGGTATCTAGAGATTGCTATGGATGAAGATTCAAGGCTGATCTAGAATAGATAGTTGCATGTTCTGTCTCAAGAAATGCAGGGATGAAACCACACCTGGCAAATATTCTAAAACAGGAAGACTAGTTTTCATTAAAAAGCTGAGGTACAATGAGAATTCTTTTTCTTTTCAAACACAACAGCTTAATACATGACCACGATCAAAAATTGAAGAATCATAATCAGTAAGTGTAAAGCCTGCTACAGGTAATATTCTCTAGAATATCCACAGGGGAGAGTGCTGGGAGATGGCGTTTTGGTCTAGCCAGCTATTCTCTCTGTAGCCCCCTTTTATAAATTGTAAGATTTCACTAGCTTTTGAAATTTGTAAGAAATTAAAGGATACTTAGAGAGATGACAGATTGCTTAAAAAGCCATGCCTTAAAATTGTTTCTAACTGCTGTTATTGGGGTTTTTTTACTCTTGTTCTGAGATATTCTGTATTTTAAAGAAAGAAAAACGTTCCGTCTCCCTCATGGAACATTTACACTCTCTAAAACACAAATCTAACACTTGTTTTAGATGACAGCAACATCACCCTCACATGTATGGATACAGGGATATGATCCTGTACACAGAATTATCTACTTGACATAACTACAATATCAGATATATACATTAATAGTAATCTTTTCCAGCTTAAAGATTTCTCATCTTCCTCTCTGCAATAAGCAAAAGCAAGTATGTCATAATTAGTGGCTTGTTTTTCAAAGCTATAAGCACTGCTTTCTCCCTCTTTCACAGAAGCCAACAGAGACAATATTTTGTACCTTTAAGAGATCACGTAGTTCTAGTTTGTCTGGCTTTAGGATTAAATAGACTGGATGTTTTGATTCTACATTGTATTAATATAAATATTTAAGATGCTTTAAAGGCTTTTAATGTTTTATCCCACTAAAAAATTTCATTGGTTTCACTTTCATATATAACTGCCTAACTGTTTTTTGCTCATGATAGAGTTACTCAAATTGAACTATTACAGTAGTTTGGAAAGACTACTGAAATATTTTTGCCTGATTAGTATTGGCAAATTTTTTGAAGTCTGAGCATGTTAGGAAAACAAATACATTTATCAAGCTCCTTGACAGCCGCATTGGTGTGTAGCTGGAGAGAATGGGATTCCAGGTTCCTTGACTGTCCACCTGGCAATACGACAGGGACAGAAAAGCCTGGATGCTCCAGCCCAAAACCTGCAGCAGTTTGCCAGCCTCATGCCACAGAGTCAAACTCCTGAGGACTTCTGTCCCAAAGTCAGTAACCCAATGTTTCCAAGGCTTCATAGACGGCTGCCCAAGAAATAGAAGTTCAGTTCCACTTCTAGACAGATGGCACAACCCTTTCAAGTACAAACAAAATCAATCCTCTACAGAGTGGAATGACATTTTTCCATCCAGATCTACAACACTCCAACCAATACCGCAATTACGGAGCTGCTGAACTGCAGACTATCTCCATCATGAGCATGGAAATTTGTCATTAAATCACTCTAGAACTGATTAGATGTTGAGTATCACAGCTAGGCCCACTGGAGGGTACAAAGGTGCTTTCCAAATGGATTTTTTGTTTGGTTTTTTTTTTTGTTAAACCTGCACAGTGAGACAGCTGCCAAGGCTAGTGCCAGGCTACACGCTTTAATACACCATTACTGCTAAACATGCATTCATCAGTAAGACTGATAATTTTAAAGGTCACTTGTAATTTTCTAAGAGGAAGAAATTCAAAAGTATAAGAACAGGTATAAAGCTGGACACATATAACAAATTGTGGTATGTGTCCTACCCAAGCAACTAGAAAACAAACACAATCGCTCACTGGCTTGTCACTTACTTAGGCTGTTCAAGTTGGCGATTCTTTCAATGCAGTTCGTAGACAGTGACAGTTTCCTTTAAAAGCAAGAATAATGAATTCACAGTATACAAGGGATCATTATACCAGAAGAGTTCAATGCCCAAACACCACTGCATTAGAAATAATTGTTTATTCTTCTCTCATTAGATGGTGAACTAACTGGATGTGTAAACAGACTCAAAACATCCTCAAACCATCAAGACTCCTGCAACTTTATTTAGCTTCTGGGAAAGTACCATGAGTTAGTTATTTATATGACATACCAGTTTACCTTTTTATGCCTAGCCTTATCAAATGCAGGGACATTTATTTCTGAAATGGCTCTAATCTCTTTCTGAAAATCCTGCTTGTCTCCTTTGTTTTTTGCATAAATTTTGGAATCAATCATAAATGTGCCAGTTAGCTGATAGACCCCAAACATGAACCTGTAATTATACACTAATAAACAGCATATAATTTTTCTGAAGACACTATATCAATACAGAATCTAACCTAACATCTTCTCAGTTAAGTGACAGGGACCTTTGAATTAAAAAGAAGAACCGTGTGAGGAAAAAGAAGAAAAAAAAGAAAAGAAAAAGCTGCTGCTTTGAAGGTCACACTTAAACGTAGTAAATATGTATTTCCACAATGGAGAGCACAAAACATAAAAATTAATATAGAAAAGAGAATATTTGGTTTCCAATTAGTTTTTAACTGAACTTACTCGCAGTTAACAAGTGTGGAGAGAGATTCATCCATCCTCTCTACAGGAGGAATCTGACCATACAGTTTCACCTCCTTTGCCTCTGAAGCCTTCTGGCCATTTTTTTCTTCCTGAAGAAAAGAGAAGGTGAAGAACAGGCTCACTGCTATAGGCAATTACTAAAAATTACTATACTAAAAAAATACTATAGAAGTAACAACTATAGAACTAATTCCAATATACTGTGTTTTGGGGGCGAACCTCAACAGATTCACAGAGTTAAGAATCTAAAAAAGTTATAAATTAGGCATTAAATAGCGTGGGGGAAGATTTTACACTTTAGACAATACAGCAAAAGACAAACTTCCTATTTACAATCTGGGTTGATAATTTTCTAGATGAAATACTTTATAAAGTCCAGAGCTTCAGAAAAATGGCCATAACTTCAGCATCTGGGTTTATTAAAACATATAGTCTATTAAATCTTCTAAAATTCTGAAGTGATGGCGATCACTGACTTAACACTTGGAGCAAGTATCCATTCGGGTAGTATCACCAGTTCTGACAGCTGCCTCCGTGACAGCATAAAGGGAGTATTTTGTCAATTCACTCGGTGTCCAGTGGGAGGACTGGAGGTCCATTAACAAAGTAGATATCTGTTTCACGCTTTCAAAACAAGGACTCTTGTTTTCTCCCCCATTTTTATGCAGTTACTGAAAAGAGAGAGTTGAGGTCTGGCCTGGTTTATATGGCAGTTTGTAATGAAATTAATTGTATCCCAGAAGTCTTTAAGAATCTCACAGTACAAGATCAGGTTTTGATTACATTATTTTCTCTCTTATGTACCCAAAATACTTCAGGCAACTTAATTTAATGAAAAAATTAGCATGTTGCCTTGTGCATTTACTTACATTTCCGTTTCTGTTCAAATTCAGTGTGATGCTATTTTTACTCACAAGTAGCAATTTAGCAAATAAGCATGTCAGATGTTTTGCTAGAATATGGTGAGTGTGTTCAAAGTAATTCACTAAATAAATGCAAAATTTCCACTTTATTTTCTAAGAACAACACTGTATCTATTTACATTTATACTCAGTTCATAATCTACCAGTTTATAGCAACAAATAAAAAGAATTTTTTTCTTAAAAGCATGAAAGGGAAAACACTTCCAACACAGACTGTGGCCAGCAGTGAGCACTTGCAGGAAGACCTGCTTGCCAGAAGGAAGGTCAGTTGAATGACCACAATAAGCCACAGAGAAACCAGAGGTAGAACAGACACTTTTTTTGAGAACAGGCTACCTGCTTGCTAAATTAAACTTGCTCTGATTTAACTAATGTCACCCTGACTGTAGGGCAGTGGTAAACCCTTATGACAAAGGGAGGAAAAACATCTGGAATGCAACGCAACACCAGATCCGATTTTGCGAGTCACATGGACCCAGATGAGGAGTAGTAAAAGGAAGATTTAGACCCACCCCAATAACATGAACAGCAAAGTGAATTCAGCACTTCATGCCTAACATTTTTACAATGTTTGAAAAACAAATTTAACTGAATACAGTCAAACCCCATGCCACAGAGTATTGCAAAGCAGCTAGATATCGTTCTACTACTTACCCATTTGGCTAGAGCTTCTTTGATAGTTGTTGCTTTTGCCTAAAAATGAAACAAATTTAAATGAATATTAAATGCAAATTTTTAGTTGACTTCTTCATGTAAATGTATCTCCTCTCCTTTCTCTCTCGCTATCCTGCTTGTCAACTCCCTTCCACTACTTTCCTGGATGATATCCCTCCAGCTTAGTCTAAGAAGATGGAACCCGTCAGCGTCCCATAATTTTATTTTCTGGGGTACTTGGTAGCACTTTGAGAAGCAATCAATTGGCTTCATGCAAAGATGTTATCTTCCTGATCTTACTCTCTACCCTGTGTGGAACCTGGGTTTGGGACACTGCTTGTTAGTGTTGACAGTGAAATTCAATTCAATTCAAAGACATAAGAGGTTATTGCACTGAAAAAATGTGGTCTAATGCTCTTAACACCCCCCCCACACACACACACACACTTTCTATTATTTTGCATTAGCGAATTTCTGTCTGAGAGCAAGTCTGTGAGGAGACAGAATGATACAGCCTCTTAAGATTCATGGAGGAAAATAAGGTACAACTTGCCAAAAATCAAGAGCAATCTGGATTGTTTGTTTTTCTCCAATCGTTTTATGTCGAGTCACATCATGCAATGTGAAAACATGTATTATTCAGTTAGGAAAAGTCTGAGAGCTGCTGTACAAGGCTTTTTAGGGATTGACCCTGTTGTGGTTTTAAATCAGCCAGCAGCTAATTGCCACATGGCCAGCCGCTCACTTTCCCCCTTCCCAGTGATAAAAAAAAAAAAAAAAAAAAAAAAAAAAAAAAAGGCATTTACTAATAGTAACAAGAAAAACAACAGTGACAAGATGTAAATCCAAAATGGGTAAAATGCAGCAGTGGCTTACTGAGCACAGTGACAGGTACGCAGCCCGCCCCCCCCCCGACCTGTAAAACCAAAAAGGGAGTGAGCCCGAGAGCGCCCGCGGCCACCTGTGCACACTGAGCATGACATCACATGGTATGGAATACTCCAGCACCAGACCCGGCCCTCCAGCTGTGCTCCCTCTCAGCCCAAGGAAAGTTAACTCTATCCTGGCCAAAACCAGGACACACCCACTGACCAACTTTCTGTTGTCACTAACTCCAACTTTCCTGCCTCACATCAGAGTCTTCTCAAAACCACATGATGCTATCCAAAACAGTCATTAGATAAACTCTGATATATCCTAAACATTAAACATATTCCAAGATGTCTTTCAGACAAAAAAGGTTCCAGAGACTAATCTTTCACAAAAACTCAGCAACAGCCTCCTTTCTACAAAAACAAGAGGACTCTAGTGTGGGTGTTTCTATTGCTCTTTGGCATAGCACTACCATATGTGGAGAGAAGCAGCCTTTCAGGTAATCAGATATCAAAAAGAAAGATTGTAAAAGTTAAACCCAACAAACTAATTTCCACCCAAAATCTTACAGGCAATCACCTTGGTCAGAGACCTTCAGAAACTCTGAACCCCAACAGTGAGAGACAACAGTTGAGGAAGCACATGTATAAGAATGGCTACAGTCACTGAACACCCAACAACAGTCTAAGACCCAGCAACACCAAGGATAACTCTCAAATATCAATATATACACCTTGATTTAGATGTACATCACTGAGCAACCTCAGATGTTCCAGCTGCTCCTGCCCACTGCTGGGCACTGGTTTTCACCCTGTCTATACCAAACGATAGCTAGCTCTAGGCTCTGTTGTAGATGACCGGGCAAACCCATGCCATGGCAGTATCTCCTTGGTGTCTGCTGCAGATAAACCTCCTCCTGTTCAGATCACATCCCCAGTTCCCATCCAACAGCCTCATGAAACCCAATTAAAAGCTGCCAGCATGCCAGCAAACACAGCTGGCTTCACATTAATCAGTTTTTTTGGACACGAGCTTCACTGCATTTTTCATAATTATGATAGCCAATTATTACAGCATTCAGGTACATGACCTCAGTCACGCATGTTGAAGACAGAAATGGATTTATATGACCAGTGCCTGCTTCCGTTTCAAACTCACACCTAAAACCAGGCAGGACTTTGGAGCTAGCAATCCATGTGAGCACAAGAAGCAGCTTCTTCCCTGACCTGGCTGACTTGTCTCTCCTGTTGTAACATTCGATTTGGTGGAAATATGAAAATCAGCACAGTGGGTTACGAAGAGAACACGTATCAAGGATTTCGCTTTGTTCCTTGAAGCTCACATGAAGTTTGTGTTCATAAATCATAGTATCTTCTGCCATGGGAGGTTACTTAAGGGAAACCTCCTTCTGAGAAGCGTATTTTCAGGGTTCCTCTACTTGCATATCGAACCATTTCCTACAAGTATTTAGACTAAAGAAAGTCAAATTACATAAAGTATTTAAAATGCCGAGTGATCAGTAACTGAAATTGTCACCCCGAAGAGTCACCATCAACATAGCAGGAACAAGAAACATAATAAGGGGAAAAAATACCCCGTCCCTGTAATATAAAAGCTATAACAAAAGAAATATTTTTGGAAAAAACCCGCAGCTGTTGGACAGAGTACTTACAAAATTCAGACAACCAGGGAAAAGTAAAACAGTGACACTGCCTTCGTTTGCAAATATTTATTAAAATTTTAAATATAGCAAATCAGAATTACACAGCAAGAGATACCAGGCTAATTGCTGTAGTAATCGCAGATACTGTTGCCTTAAAAACAAGTACTAGCTCAGGTTTTCATATGACGGCATCCCAGGCTCCCCACTACCTTGCTCTATCCCTAAAACGCCTCCTTCCCAAGGCACCCTAACGGGCCACAGCTCGCCGGCCCCGGCCCCGGGAAGGGGATGCCTTTCGGCCCGCTGACGCCGTGCCCGCGCTGCTGGGCGCCACGG